CAGGAAATACAATGACTTGGTAACAGACTGCCTAGGTTTGAATGTAAGTGCTGTTATCTACTAACTGAATAAGTCTCAGCCTTATTTTTGTCTGTCAGCTATAGAAGGGAAATAAAACAGTACTGACTCTTGGTAGGGATGGAGAAGAATGATGAAAGGGATGACATTGATCCAGATACACTGTTCTTGAACTAACATGTTGAATGGCAATAATCACTTTGTATACTTAAATAAAAATATTAATAAAAAACAGTATCAACTCATAAAAGTAATATAAAGCACTCTGAGCATCAGTCTCTCCCTTAAACCATAAAATAGACTACCTGCTGAAATAAGACTCAGAATTGTGTTTTATCTTTAACTGAACATTAAAAAATTAATCACAGGTTGGGGTATAGCTGCTCAATGGTGCCTAGTACCCACAAAGCCCTAGGTTCAATTCGTTTCAGAGGAAAAAAAAACAGTATGCATAATAAACATAGATGCTGAAATGTCTTCCAGACTTAACATTCCCAACTTTAAATGATTTAATGTTCTCTCTTCATTAGTTTTCTAGTAAAGTGAATTCATTTAAAATAACTGCTCCCCCCCATACACACATATTTCAAGAGCTCTGAAAAGACACTACTTAGAACCAACTAAATGTTTACACCACCATGTACAAACCCGATGAGCACACTATAAAAGAGAATAATGGAACATGGTAAATTAAACAGGACTCTAGACATTCACACAACAGTGAGACCAAAGGAGGAGAACACAAAGGCATAATGCCATTTTATCTAAATGAAATTAAAAAAAAAAAAGAGAATAGCATAAAAAGGAAAAAGATCTCATGCAAGTATAGTAAGCAAGAATGTCAAACACTGGGCTGGGAAGGTGGCTCAGTGGTAGAGCGCTTGCCTTGCATGCCTGAGGCCCTGGGTTCGATTCCTCAGCACCACATAAGCAAAAAAGAAAAAAGAGCGCTAGCCTTGAGCTGAAGAGCTGAAGGACAGCGCCCAGGCCCAGAGTTCAGGCCCCACGACCAGACCCCCCCCCCCCCCCAAAAAAAAAGAATGTCAAACACTAAGCAATTAACTTGTAATTTCATAAAGAACCTTAAATGATTTCTTTTAAGGCCAGCCCAAAAGAAAAAAAAAAGCCCCAGTCTTGGGGCTTGAACTCTAGGCCTGGGCCCTGTCCCTGAGCCTCCTTATGTGCTCAAGACTAGTGCTCTACCACTTGAGCCACAGAGCTATTTCCAGCTTTTCCTGAGTAGTTTATTGGAGATGAGTCTAAGTTTCCTGCCCCAGCAGGCTTAGAACTAGAATCCTCAGATCTCAGCCTACTGAGTATCTAGGATTACAGGTGTGAGCCACTGGCACCTAGCCCCCCCCCCAAAAAAATATATATATTAATCTAAGGGAAAAATAAACTTTTGTGTTTATGAAGGTAAGTTGAAATTGGTGTGCATGAAAGTAAGTTGAAAGATGACAATTATATTAACTTCAAAGTTCTCATTTTACAATTTGTGCTCTATTGTACCTGAAACTCAAGTATCTTTCCAAATACTGAAAACTATTTTTAGCTTCCAATCAATGTTGGAATGCATGTTGTTTACAAGAAAACTTCTGGACCTATAGCCCTTTTTTGTGTGCCAGTCCTGGGGCTTGAACTCAGTGCCTGGGCACTGTCCCTGAACTTCTTTTGCTCAGCAGAGCTAGCAGTCTACCCCTTGAGGCACAGCACCACTTCCAGCCTTTTCTGTTTATGTGATACTCAGAAATCAAACCTAGGGTTTCATGCATGGTAGGCAAGCATTTTACCACTAAGGCACATTCTCAGCCCTTGCCATTTTTTTAAACAAATCAATTAAACAAAAAGCCTTTTGCCACTACCAGTGGCTCAAGCCTATAATCCTAACTTAGTCAATAGGCTGAGATCTGAGGATCCATTTTCAAAGCCAGGCCTGGCAGGAAAGTCGTTGAGACTCATCTCCAATTAACCACCAAAAAAGAAAAGGCTGAAAGTGGGACTGTGGCTCAAGGCTCAGGTGTTAAGCCTACTAGCTTTGAGAAAAAACTTCAGCACCCAAGACATGAGTTCAAGCCCCAGGACTGGCATCCAAAAAAGTCACAAACTTATCAGCAATATTGACAGAAAAGACTTTAGAAACGATAAAGCATTTGAACAAATTACAAATTTAGTTCTGTTGAAAATTATAATTTTATTATTGATGGGATTTAGAGTAACCCGATTTTGTTTACTCAGCCAAAAATATGAACCACCATTATCACGGTGTTTTTCTACTAAGCATTATCAGTTTAAAGCATTCAAAAATATCACAATCCAAGGAAAGGGCACAAATCTAGCAAACAAAAGTATCATAACACAATTTCAAAACTATAAGTAACTACTAAAAAGAAATGCCTGAACCATTCTTACCTAAACTTTTAGGACGAGCAAACTTCATCAGCCTCACCTTTGGTTTTCACCTAGCACAAGAAGCCGTAAAGGCAGAGCACCAACGCCGCCCTCCCCCCGCCCCCCAGCCCCAAGATCAAAAGATCCACTTAATGTCACATAGGGTAAGACGACTAAAACATTACGACATGTTATTGCATTTAAGTTACCAAAGAACAGGCTACTTCCCCACGCTACAGCCATTTTAGATTGAGTCTTGCTTCTGATTTTCACCGGGTTCAGAGATTTAAAATAGAATAAAAATGCTGGTCAACTCAAGATCAACCAATATTTTGCTCGTGTAAAGGGGTAGACAGTGGATAGATTGACTCTAATTTACTACCCACAAGAACCCGGACGCCGGGCGTGAAAACTCTTTTTCTTCCTCAGATACCTCACAAGAGGTATCTTACAAGATGGAAAACAAAAGTCTGTGGCTTTTATTCTAAGGAAAGAAGAAAAAAAAAAAAACAAGAAACCCGTAAACCAAGCCACCGAAGCGCCAGCGAGGCGGACCGCCTGGAGGGCGGCCAGAGCGCCGCAGGTGAGCGTTCCGACCTGGAGAGCAAAGTTAAAAGTAGAAGCGCTCCCGACAGCCGCGGAGACGCTCGGGGGCAACACTCGAGGCGCGTGGGGTGAGGGGGCGCCCGAACTACCCGACCCCGGGGCTCCGCTCGGCCTTCCCAGGACGACCGACACCCAACCACCTGTGTGCGACCTTCCTCCAACTAGTTTTCACAGACGGCAAGCCAAGCAGCGGGCGGAGCCCCGCTCCAGGAGACTCCAGGGTCCCCCTACGGCTCGGTATCCGTAAACCCCCACTCACCCGGTAGCCGTGGGGCTACGGTCAAGGATAAGACGCTGCGTCTCACGACGCGTGTCCAGCTTCTCAAGCCCACAGAGGTGACTAGCCTACAACCATAACAAAGCTCTTCCCAAAATGGCTGCCCGGCCCACAAGGCCCAAGGAGGGGCAGAGCGGCTGGAGGAGGAGGAGCCACGGAAAACCTGGCCCCGCCCCCTCCGGCCCCGCCCCTCACACACACACCCGCTGGAGCGCACGCGCATGCGCAGGGGGCCTCCCGGGCCTTGGCGGCTGGGCTGGGCTACGCCGGCGCCTCACACGCTCAGCGCGCGACCGCGTGAATGGCGGTTAGCCCTTTCCCGCCCCCAGCTCTCCAGAGCTTCCGGCGGTGCACGGTCGCCACTTCAGAATCAAATCCTTTGCTTTTCCTTGCACCTGAGTTTAATACTCTTCCTCATCTGTCCCAGACCAAGTGAGCCAGTGAGTGTAGAAGTATACCAGTCCTTCGCCGGCCCCGTTCGTTCTTCACCCTCGCACATTCCTCTCAGGGAAAGCTCGCGTCGCCCAACTACCGCTACCAGTATGAGTAAACCAGTTTCGGAAGAACGTGTTTCCCTACCAGCGCACACCAGTTCCTGGATTCAGGTGCGCGCGTCCGTGAGACTCCAGCCCCCAGCGGGCCACCGGACCTGCTCCAGAGACCTGCGCGGCGGAGCCTGGCACGCTACCCGCCGGGAATGGTAGTTCCGGGGCACGGAAGGAGCGTTGCGGCCCCGCACCGATGCAGGGCGGGGTCCCGGGCGGGGTCCCGGGCGGAGCCTGCGCCTGCGACTGCGCCTGCGCCGAGAACCGGAAAACCTTTTCTCCCATCCGCAAACTCGTCGGGTAACGCACGACGTAAAGGGGCGGTGCTTGCGGAGCGGGAGAAGGAACTAAAAGTGAAAGCCTGGACCGATGGAAAGATGTTACCCTTCGGGAGATTTCGCTGCGGCCCTCTCCCTCTCCGGAAGCCTCCGGAAGGAGGGAGGGGGGCGGCTAATGGCAACCCGGAAGGAAGCTCAATTAACCTAGAATCAAGCCTAAACTGGCGGGAGTGCATCCTCTCCCGTTTGCCTACAGCTTTATCCTTAGATGGAGACGTTATCCTTAGAGGCTAAAACTGCCTATCACCAGATCCTTCGAGGGACTGATAGGGAAGTGACTTGGCCAAGGTGACGCAGTCAAAAAACACAAGCAGGAGGAATACTTCTGGATCACCCCCTGCCCCGGCCAAAGTTCTTAACGCCCAACCGAATTTATACAAATGAAAATTCTGCACTCTGATCCTTATTGAAGTCTATAGGTCCTACCAAAGAAAACAGAAGTAAATAGCGCTCCTCCAACCTCGGTAGTATATTAAAGGACCCAGCTGAAGAGTAAGATTATCCGGTCAGTCCAATACCTCGTTGTTTTGCAAAGTAAAAAATAAAAAGTTCTATAAACATTTGGCCTTAGCCTCGAAAAACACCTACTTTCTGCCATCACCGTCACTTTGAGATTGAGTAATTGCACTCTACCTTCCCGAATTCTGCAGGCAGACTCGTCTAGCTGGGAACCCTGGAATACAGACTGTTAAGGTACCTTGTTCAACAACCGATTTCAAGAATTAAGATTAAGAGAAGTCCTCAAAACAGAAAGCCGGGCCTTGGAACCATTGTAGCTCAAGTCAAGTCCCTACCCGGACTTTTTTTTTTCTCCTTTTTCCGTTCTCAGGAAGTGGAGGGAGTGTTTCACTCCACTCGCCGGAAGTTGCAGTTCCCACGAGTTTCTGGGCTTCTTTACCGCTCGGTTTTTCTTTCCCCCGCGCGAATCTACTGGAGAGTGAGTATTGAAACCACCAAGGGTGCATGTTGGGAAAATGGTCACCAAGAATTTGTAGTAAAAAAGTAGTTCCGAGGACCTCTGCGTCTAAACTACGATCCCTCTCCTAAGATGTAGGCTTGAGGCTTAGTTTGCAGTTGTCCCATTGGAGAAATAGGAATATGTGAGAGTTTTCGCCTGAATTGAAGACCGGAATCTCTCGTTGTTATCTCTAAACTTCAGCATATCACTTGGTCTGGGCGGTCTCTGAGCTTTTGGTGTGTGTGTGTGTGCGTGTGCGTGTGTGCCCAAGGCTAGCGCTCTAACACTTGAACCACAGCTCCATTTTCAACTTGAAGTTAATTGGACATCAGAGTATCACGGACTTTCATGTCTGGGCTGGCTTTGATCTGCATTCCTCAGATCTTATCCTCCTGAGTAGCTTGGATTACAGGCTTGAGCCACCGGTGCCCGGCTGCGTATCACTTTTAATACTAGTGACTTGGGCAAAACCCTGCTACCTACAGTGGTTAGAGTATCAGGAAGTGGGAAATTTAAATGCATATAAAATATATAGTTACCGTACCAACTTACAGATAAATTTCATTTGTTCCTGCTGTCATTTCGAGCTGTAAATTTTAAATCCCCAAAGTTGATAACTAAGCGGGATGGGATGGTAGAAAATCAAAGGGTACAGGTCTGACCTTCTATTTTAAAGATGGGAAAGCGGTACTATAGGAAGCACTTTACCAATATTGCACCGCTTGGAAGTGGAATCCGTGTTTTGTAAAATCCGTATCTTTTTTCTGCATATTGCTTTTTCTGTTACACCAAACAGAAAATTAAAAGAACAGTTGGAGAAAAAAAAAACAAAACTGTTTCCTTTATATGGTACTGGCTCTTTGAAAAGCACCAGTGAGTGTTATAAAAGGAAATCGTGTTCTATGGAAAAAATTTTCATGAGTTACTTTGTTTAAAAGTTTTTAAAAATGGGGGCTGGGAAGGTGGCTCAGTGGTAGAGCGCTTGCCTTGCATGCCTGAGGCCCTGGGTTCGATTCCTCAGCACCACATAAACAAAAAGAAAAAAGCCGGAAGTGGCGCTGTGACTCAAGTGGTAGAGCGCTAGCCTTGAGCTGAAGAGCTGAGGGACAGCGCCCAGTCCCAGAGTTCAGGCCCCACGACCGGACCCCCCAAAAAAATAAATAAAAAAGTTTTTTAAAATGAAGGTGATTAAATAATGTTATTTTATACACAGTAACATGCATCTGGCTCAGCTCCTCCAGTTACCTGTAAAAATAAATTAATCAGAACTGCTTGACACCTTCCTGAATAAGACTTAGTAGAGGCCAGTATGATTCACTTCATCCACAGCTTTTCTCAAGTATCTTCAAAGGTAAGTTTATTCAGCAAATACTGAACACTTGACAAAAAACTACAATGGCTAGAGCAGTAGCAGAAAGAAAAAATAATTTTTTTTCAAGCCCCAGTCTTGGGGCTTGAGCCCAGGGCCTGGGCACTGTCCCTAAACTTCTTTTGCTTAAGGCTACAACTCTTCCCCTTGAGCCACAGCACCACTTCTGGCTTTATCTTCATCTTCATGAATTCAAGTGAAAGAGAGAGGATTGGCTAAAATACAAATAAGTAAAATATTTAGTATATCAAGTAGTAAAAACAATGGAGAATTATAAAGCGTGGAAGGGAACATAAGTATCAAGACTAGCTTTATGATTATATTTTAGTGGGTCAGGGGGATCTTCCAGGCTGAAGAAAGAACATCCCAAATGGAAACAAAAGAAAATCCCCACAATGATTCCTAGCATTGTTAGTGAAGACTCCTCCAAGGTTCCTAAAAAACTTCCATTTTAAAGCTGGGCGCTGATGGCTCATGCCTGTAATCCTAGCTACTCAGGAGGCTGAGATCTGAGGATCACGGTTCAAAGCCAGCCCAGGCAGGAAAGACCGTGAGACTTCTATCTCCAGTAAACCACCAGAAAACCGGAAGTGGCACTGTGGCTCAAGTGGTAGAGTGCTAACCTTGAGCTGAAGAGCTGAGGGACAGCGCCCAGGCCCCAGAGTTCAAGCCCCACGACTGACCAAAAAAAAAAACTTCCATTTTAAAAAATTTCAGGGCTAGGAATGTGGTAGAGTGCTTGCCTTAGCATGCATGAAACCCTGGATTCAATTCCACAGTACCACATAAACAGAAAAGTTTGGAAGTAGCACTGTGGTTCCAGTGGTACAGTGCTAGCCTTGAGCAAAAGAAACTCAGGGACAATGGCTAGGGCCAGAGTTCAAGCCCCAAGACTGGCCAGAAAGCTCAGGGACAATGGGTAGGTCCAGAGTTCAAGCCCCAAGACTGGCCAAAAAAAAAAAGCTGGGAATGTGGCTTAGTGGTAGAGTGCTTGTCTAGCATGCATGAAGCCCTGGGTTCAATTCCTCAGTACCACATAAACAGGAAAAGCTAGACGTGGCTCAAGTGGCAGAGTGCTAGCATCAAGCAAAAAGAAGTTCAGGGACACTGCCTATGCCCTGAGCTCAAGTCCCGGGACTGGCAAAAGGAAAAAAAAAAAATTCACGTAGGGCTGGAAATGTGGCTTAGAGGTAGAGTGGTGGAATGCTTGCCTAGTATGCATGAAGCCCTGGGCTCAATTTCCTTAGTACCACGTAAACAGAAAAGGCTGGAAGTGGTGCTGTGGCTTAAGTGGTAGAATGCTAGCCTTGAGCCAAATAAGCTCAGGGACAGTGCCCAGGCCTGAGTCCTAGCCCCAGGATTGGGGGGGGAAAAAATCAACATTATTTTAGTTATTCTGCTTAGTTGAAGTCTAGCATCTGCTCACTTATGCACAGAATGAGAAAAGAGTTATTAAAGTCAAAGAAAGAAAATATTTGGTGCTCTCAAGTCTTCTAAGACAAAGACAATTTTAGTTCACTGAGAAGAATTAGAATGGAAGCTTAAACAATATTTACTACAGGATTCAAGAAAGCTTGCAGGGGAAGTGGCGCTGTGGCTCAAGTGGTAGAGCACTAGCCTTGAGCTGAAGAGCTCAGGGACAGCACTCAAGCCCTGAGTTTAAGACCCACAGCTGACCAAAAAGAAAGAAAGATAGCTTTCCTGGTGCTGGTGGCTCAGGCCTGTAATCCTAACTACTCAGAAGGCCAAGATTTGAGAATTGAGGTTCAAAGCCAGCCCGGGCAGGAAAGTCCATGAGACTCTTATTTCCAATTAACCACCAGAAAATCGAAAGTGGCACTGTGGTTCAAGTGGAAGAGCACTTACCTTGAGCTGAAGAGCTGAGGGATAGTGCCCAGGCCTAGAGAGAGTTCAAGCCCCACGACCAACCAAAAAAAAAGGGCTGGAAGGTGGCTCAGTGGTAAAGTGCTTGCCTTGCATGCCTGAGGCCCTGGGTTCGATTCCTCAGTACCACATAAGCAAAAAGAAAAAAGCCAGAAGTGGTGTTGTGGCTCAAGTGGTAGAGCGCTAGTTTTGAGCTGAAGAGCTGCGAGACAGCGCCCCAGCCCAGAGTTCAGGCCCCACGAATGGACCAAAAAAAAAAAGCTTCAAGCTGAATTTTGGAAGACAGGTTAAGTTCCCCACATAGAAAATAGACGCTAGAATTCTGGAAGAGCTATGTAAAAGGAAGGTAGTAATGTTTATAAAAACTAAATTGGCACTGTTGGCTGTAATCCTGCTACTCAGAAGGCTGAGATCTGTGGATCTCAATTCAAAGCCAGCCAAGACAGGAAAGTCAATTGAGACTCTTATCTCAAATTAATCAAAACATCACTTGGTAAGTTGTAGCCAAAACAAACAAAAAGGATCAGGGACAATACCTGGGCCCTGAGTTCAAGCCCAGGTGCAGTGCCCATGCTTGTGCTCACATACACATACTAAATATTTTGGTTTCGGTCATGAAGCTTGAACTCTGGGCCTGGGCACTGTCCCTGAGCTCTTTAGCTCAAGGCAAGCAAGCACTCTACCACTTGAACCACAGCACCACTTCCGGTTTTCTGATGGTTAATTCTAGATCAGAATCTTACAGACTTCCTGCACGTGCTGGTTTTGAACCAGAATCATCAGATCTGAGCCTCCTGAGTAGCTAGGATTACAGGAGTGAGCCACCAGCGCCTAGCTAACAAACACATTAAATTGGTACGTTTCTTTTTGTGTATGGTCATGGGCTTGAACTCAGGACCTGGGTACTGTCCCTGAGCCTTTCTGCTGAAGGCTAAAACCCGACCACTTAGGTCACAGCTCCAATTCTGGCTTTTTAGTGGTTAGTTGGGCTGAATTTGAATCATGATCCTCAGAGCTCAGCCTCCTGAGTAGCTAGGAGTACAGGCACGAGCCTAATGCCCAGCTTAGATTTTCCTTTCTCAACTTAAAATAGCATTCTTAGCTCTTAGTGCTGCTTTATTTCATTTCTAAATATTTCAGTTGACATAGCAGTTGTATATTATGTATTAGGAAATAACTACATATTATAAAATATATTACCATTGATACCAACAATAAGCTAAGTCTGTAGTCCTACAACCTGGTTGTAAAATTTGGTATTTTAACAGATAGCTTTTTTTTTTTGCTTTTTTGTCTTTGTTTCAGAGTGGAATTAACCAAGAAATCTGGTGGTGAATTCTGTTTTTAATTTTGTCTTCTGGTCCTATTTTATTTATAGATGCTGACATGTCCTTTCACAGTGAGACTGGGAGCCAGCAGAATGGATGCCCTTTATTTCAAGACAGTTCTTCAGAAGTTTTCTCCTTTGTGTCCAAAGCCTCAACTTTTCCAATCATTTCCAGTATGTTTGAACAAGACACAATGCTATCATACATCACCATGCTGCTTTAAGAAGAAGGAAAAGCAAACAGTTGCCAGGCCACCAAGCACTATCACTTACCTGCTCGATAGCCCAAAGCCAGCATTATATCTAACTCTGGCAGGGCTAATCCCTTTGGTTGCTCCACCAGTGCTCATGGTCATGGCAAAGACCTATATCCCTGGATTAGCTTTTTCTCAGATGGCTTATGGAGCCAGTTTCTTATCTTTCTTAGGAGGAGTCAGATGGGGCTTTACTCTACCAGAAGGTAGTCCAGCCAAACTAGACTACCTTAATTTAGCTAACAGTATAACTCCTGTTGTGTTTTCATGGTTTGCTTTCCTCTGTGAAGGACTCACTGAGGCCATAGTCACAATTGTAGTAGGTTTGGGGATAGCATTACATGTTGAAGTTTTTCTCTTGCCACAGTATCCCAACTGGTTCAAAGGCTGGAGGATAGTAACCACTTTAGTGGCATCTTTTTCATTTGCAGTCACTTTAGTGGTTCAGAATATTTATCCAGAGAAAGGACACAAGAGTCATCATCAAGTAGAATAAATGTAAAATTACTTTGTTGATAACAGCCTGTTGGCTACTAGACTTGTAAAGTTTCAGTTTGCCATCACCTTCTAACTCCCCTGTTTGGCTCTTTTTTTTTTTTCCCCCTAGCAAAACTAATTTATTTGTCTCAGGTTTTTCATTTCTTTTATTTTTGATTTTTTTTTGTCTGTCATGGGGCTTCAACTCAGCTCCAAGCCACTGTCCCTGAGCCTTTTTTTTTTCCCTTTGTTAGTGAAGGCTCTGTGCCTGAGCTCTTTTGCTCAAAGCTAGCACTCTACCATTTTGAGCCACAGCACCACTTCTGTTTTTCTGGTGGCTAATTGGAGATAAGAGTCCCATACTTTCCTGCCTGGGCTGGCTTTGAACCATAATCCTCATATCTCAGCCTCCTGTAATCCTTAGATCTTAGTCTCTTGAGAGCTAAGATTATAGGCATGAGCCACTGGAGCCTGGCTAGGCTTTTCATTTCTTTAAAAAAAAAAGGGGGGGTGGGGTGGGGAGGCTGGGAAGGTGGTTCAGTGGTAGAGTGCTTGCCTCTCATGCATGAGGTCCTGGGTTCAGTTCCTCAGCACCACATACACATAAAAAGCCGGAAGTGGGTGCTGTGGTTCAAGTGGTAGAGCGCTGGCCTTGAGCTGAGAGCTCAGGGACAGCACCCAGGCCCCAAGTTCAAGCCTTGACCACCAATAAAAAAATTAAAATTTCGGGCTGGGATGTAGCTCAGTGGCAAAGTGCTTGCCTAGCAAGTGCAACGTCCTGGGTTTGATCCCCAGTACCAAAAAAGAAAAGACAAAAAAAAAAAATACAGTTAAAAATAAAATAAAAAACAACCTTTTCATCTGTAATCCTAGCTACTCAGGAGGCTGAGATCAGAGGATCGCGGTTCAAAGCCAACCTGGGCAGGAAAGTCTGTGAGACTCTTTTTTTTTTTTTTTGGGGGGTCCGGTCGTGGGGCCTGAACTCTGGGCCTGGGTGCTGTCCCTCAGCTCTTCAGCTCAAGGCTAGCGCTCTACCACTTGAGCCACAGCGCCACTTCCGGCTTTTTTCTTATGTGGTGCTGAGGAATCGAACCCAGGGCCTCAAGCATGCAAGGCAAGTGCTCTACCACTGAGCCACCTTCCCAGCCCCATCTGTGAGACTCTTATCTCCAATAAACCACTAGAAGTGGCGCTGTGGCTCAAGTGGTAGGGCGCTAGCCTTGAGCTGAAGAGCTGAGGGACAGTGTCCAGGCCCAGAGTTCAAGCCCATGACCAACAACAACAAAAAATAATTAAAATTTCATGGTGATTACTTGATCAAGAGCTTGAAGATTTCCAAGTCTTTGTCATGTCAGTAGTTTACATTCAGTCTTTTTATGAATTAAATAATCATTCACTTAAACATTTCAGTGTTTTGTCTTGAAAAATGTAAAATAAAAGTTAAAAAAAAAAAACCTATTAGAGTTTTTTTTGGGGGGAGGTGGGTCATGGAGCTTGAACTCTGGGGCCTGGGTGCTGTCCCTCAGCTCTTCAGCTCAAGGCTAGCGTTCAACCACTTGAGCCACTGCACCACTTCTGGTTTTCTGAGTAGTTTACTGCAGATAGTTTCACGGAGGTTCCTGCCTGGGCTGGCTTTCAACCATGATCCTCAGATCTCAGTCTCCTAAGTAGCTAGGATTATAGGCATGAGCCACCGGAGCCTGGCCCTATTAAGATCTTATGATCATTAAAAAAAAGAATGCACACATGCCTGGTCCTGATGGCTCACGCCTTTAATCCTAGCTACTCAGGAGGCTGAGACTGAGGATTTCGGTTCAAAGCTAGCCTGGGCAGGAAAGTCCATGAGACTCTTATTTCCAAAAAACCACTCAGAAGACCGGAAGTGGCACTTTGGCTCAAGTGGTAGAGCGCTAGCCTTGAGCTGAATTGCTCAGGGACAGTGCCCAGGCCCAGAGTTCAAGCCCCATGACCGACCAACACACACACACACACACACACGGGATGGGAAGATGTCTGGTTTAGTGGTAGAATGCTTGCCTTGCATGCATGAGGCCCTGGGTTTGATTCCTCAGCACCATATAAGCAGGAAAAACACAAGTGGTGCTGTGGCTCAAATGGTAGAGTGCTAGCATTGAGCTAAAGAGCTGAGGGACAGTGCCCAGGCCGAGTTCAGTCCCCTCGACTGACCAAAAAAGAATGTACACATTTCACAGAAAGAATTGTTCTACTTTATGAGAAATACGTCATATCCTGAAACAAAAATGGTTCCAATGTGTTTTCATACAGTTCCCCTTGGAATTGTATATCAAGTTTATTTTACCAGGTATAAACTAGTTTTATGAGATGAAGGAATCTGTAGATCTGAAAGTAAAGGAGTAGTCTCACAGGACAATTAGATACATTTTCTAGGTTTTACAGGATATTTAGTATGGCTTAGAAACAACTTAGTGTCTTAACACTGAACAGTAAAACAAACTGGTCAAAAATAGTTAAAAGAAGCTGGGTGCTGGTAGCTTGTCCTCGTAATTCTATCTATTCAGGAAGCTGACATATGAGGATTGTGGTTCAAAGCCAGCCCAGACAGGAAAGTGAGACTTTTATCTCCAATTAACCACCAGAAAACAAAGCAGAGCTGTGGCTCAAAGCGGTAGAGCCCTAGCCTTGTGCAAAACTTCTCAGGGATAATGACCTGAGTTCAAGGGAGATGTGCTGGAGGAGCACTAAGTTGTTTACTTTCTTACATTTCTGTTGGATTGTTGAAGTCCCAATCCCAATTCCTCAGCATACTACCTTTTTCAGAGATTGGGCTTTTATGTAGGTAATAAGGTTAAGGTGAAATGATTGTGATGGCTTTAACATGATATGACTTGTGTTCTAAAAGGGAAGATTGGAGACAAGACAAACAGGAAGAATGCCATGTGAACATGATGGGTGAGGCACAGAAGACCTGCTTCCCCCATAGCACTCAAAAAATTGCCAACACTTTGCTGGGTACTGATGGCTCACGCCTGTAATCCTAGCTACTCAGGAGGCTGAGATCTGAGGATCATGTATGACTCTTATCTAATGAACCACCAAAAAAAACAAATTAAGCTGTGGGTCAAAGTGGTAGAGCACTAGCCTTGAGTAAAAAGCTCAGGCACAGGACTGGGAAGGTGGCTCAATGGTAGAGCGCTTGCCTCACATGAATGAGGCCCTGGGTTCGATTCCTCAGCACCACATAAGCAGGAAAAAAAAAAAAAGCCGGAAGTGGCGCTGTAGCTCAAGTGGTAGAGTGCTAGCCTTGAGCTGAAGAGCTGAGGGACAGTATCCAGGCCCAGAGTTCAGGCCTCATGACCAGACACCCCCCCCCAAAAAAAAAAAAAAAGCTCAGGCACAACATCCGGGCCCAGTGTTCAAGTCCACAAATGACAAAAAGAAATTGCCAGTCGGGCACCGGTGGCTCACACCTGTAATCCTATCTACTCAGGAGGCTGAGATCTGAGGATCACAGTTCAAAGCCAGCCTGGGCAGGAAAGTCTGTGAGACTCTTATCTCCAATGGAAAAAAAAAAAAAAAACACCAGAAAACCAGAAGTGGCGCTGTGGCTCAAGGGGTAGAGCACTCACCTTGAGCTGAAGAGCACAGGGACAGCGCCCAAGCCCACAGTTCAAGCCCCACGGCCAATCAAAAAAAAAAAAAAAAAAAATTGCCAACACTTTGATTTTATACTTCTAGCTTCCATAAATATTGTCAGTAAATTTTTTAAAATTTCTATGGTATTTTGTTAACAGTTCTACCAAATTAATACAATATCACAGACCTAAACCTCATTTTACATTTTTTTCTTTAAAACCAGGTTGTTTAGGGTAGCTTCAAGCACTCGTCTTGTCTTGGTCTTCCCGAGGATCAGACTACCAGTAAATACCACCACAACTGTGGTGGACAAGATATTTAGGAGAATATTGTCCAATATTTTGGAGGAAGTACACTATAACCACTGTTCAGAAAATGAAATTAAATGTACTTGTTTCTTTGTTCTGGTATTTTGCAGTATTGGGGTTTGAACTCAGGTCCTTACACTTACTAGGCTAGTGTTCTACAACCTGCACCATACCCTAAACCCTAAATGTAAATCTACATGTGTATATCCCTAAAATTAAAACTTGTAGCAGGGCACTGGTGGCTCACCCCTATAATCCTAGCTATTCAGGAAAGTGAGTTCTGGTTCAAAGCCAGTCCTGTGAGACTTTAATCTCCAATTAATTACTCAAAAACTGGAAGTGGTGGTGTGGCTCAAGTGGTAGAGTGCTAGCCTTGAGTACAAAGAGTCTCAGGGACAGCACCCAAGTCCTGAGTTCAAGCCCCATGACCGAAAGAAAAATAAACTTGTGAAATTAAGCTGGTAACCAGCTTAGTAGTCCAGTCCACTCAGGAGGCTCAGTTCTGAAAGCTTGAGGTTCAAAGCTAGCCCAGGGAGAAAAGTTTAAGAGTCCAACTAAACAAAGGAAAAACAGGCTAGAAACATAGCTCAAGTGGAAGAGTCTGGTCCAGCCATAAGTGATGAGCAAGCAAGCCAACTAAGAGCATAAGACCTTGAATTCAAACCCTGGTACCAGCAACAAAAAACAAAACTGCAGTCCCATTACACAGTTTGGTAATCTAGGAATGCTATTTATTTATCTATTTATTTATTTATGTATCTATCTATTTATTTATTTTTGTCAGTCATAGTGCCTGAACTCTAGGCCTGGGCGCTGTCCCTCAGCTCTTCAGCTCAAGGATAGTGCTCTACCACTTGAGCCATAGCGCCACTTCCAGCCTTTTCTGCTTATGTGGTGCTGAGGAATCGAACCAAGGGCCTCATGCATGCAAGGCAAGCACTCTTCCACTGAGCCACCTTCCCAGCCCCAGGAATGCTATTATTAAACTAAGTTAATAAGTAATACAAAGAAAAGAAAAAAGTTAGATTCTTTATTAGTACATTCTTTCAAAAGACAATCTTATTACTGAAATAATTTACTGTTTCTGGAATCTTCTGGATCTGTTAAATTCAAAGACTGATTTTTGACATTATATTTCTGCCATAGCAATATAAGACATCTCCCATCATAGTACCATTTTAGGCAATAGTGAAAATCCAGGAGTATTTTGTAAATATGTTTTGAACCAGAAAGCATAGTGTATAAATAGTAATATTAAAGGCACATGGGTTAGAGCTTAAGTAGTCTACAGATGTGTGAAGCATGCTGGCAGTGGGGCTTGAGCTCAAAGGTTGTACTTTTGCTTGAACCTTATGTTCTTTTTTTTTTTTTGGCCAGTCCTGAGCTTGAACTCAGGGCCTGGACACTGTCCCTGAGCCCCTTTATGCTCAAAGCTGGCACTCTACCACTTGTGAATGCTAAACAAGCACTACCACTAAGCCATATTCCCACCTCTTAGGCTTTTGGTGGTCATGGCACTTGAACTCAAGGCCTGGGTGCTGTTCTGAGCTTTTGCACTCAAGGCTAGTGCTCTACCACTTGAGCCACACAGCTCTACTTCCAGCATTTTTTTTTTTTTTTGTGGTTCACTGGAGATAGGAGTCTGAGAATTTCCTGCTCAGGCTGGCTTTGAACTATGATCCTCAAATCTTAGTTTCCTGGGTAGCTAGGATTATAAGCAAGAGCCCTGGTATCCAGCTATAGATTATCTTGATATTTAATTCTTAGATATCTTACTGATCCTAATCAAGTATCTATTACCCTTCAGACTTTCAGGATGTCCTACAGAAAGGACACAGTTTTCCTAATGCATGTATTTGGTTATGAAAGAAAATGTCCTTGTGGGCAAACCAACTTTACTGGAGATTAATGCTACCTCTACCTAGAATGCTTGTCTAATGTGTTCCACCCCCCCCCCCCACACACACTACTTCCCCCCATCCCCTACTCCCACCTGGTCTTCTGGGACTTGAACTCAGGAATTCAGGGGTTGGGTGTTGTCCCTAAGCTTTTTCAGCTCAAGGCTAGTGGTCTACCACTTTTGGGTTTTTTTTTTTTGGTTGGTTATGGGGCTTGAACTCTGGGCCTGGGCACTGTCCCTCAGCTCAAGGCCAGCGCTCTACCACTTGAGCCACAGCGCCACTTCAGTATTCTAATGGTTTATTGGAGATAAGAATCTCATGGACTTTCCTGCCCAGGCTGGCTTTGAATTGAAATCCACAGATCTCAACCTCCTAAGCAGCTAGGATTACAGGCGTGAGCCACCAGTGCCTGGCTTACTCTACCACTTTGAGCCACAGAACCACTTCCAGTTTTCTGGTGGTTAATTGGAAATAAAGAGTCTCACAGACTTTCCTTCCTGGGCTGGTATCAAACCTCAATACTAAGATCTCAGCCTCCTCCTGACTAACTAGGATTACGAGTATGAGCCACTGGTGCCTGGCGTGCGTGCGTGCGTGCGTGCGTGAGTGTGTGTGTGTGCGCGCGCGCGCGCACCACTGGTGCCTGGTATTTGTGTGTGTGTTATGGAATGTTTCACAAATCTGTGTATCATCCTTGCACAGAAACCATGCTAATCTGTATCCTTCCCAATTTCAGTATATGTGCTGCCAAAGCAAGCAGTCTGTGTTTTTTGTTGTTGTTGTTGTTTTTATATCGGTCATGAGTCGAACTCTGGGCCTGAGCACTGTCCCTCAGCTCTTCAGCTCAAGGCTAGAGCTCTACCACTTGAGCTACAGTGCCACTTCTGGTTTTCTGGTGGTTTATTGGAGATGAGAGTTTCACAGACTTTCCTGCCCGGGTTTGCTTTGAACCACGATCCTCTGATCTCAGCCTCCTGAGTAGCTAGGATTACAGGCCTGAGCCACCAGCGCCCAGCTTATCTAATGTGTTTTGTAGAGCTTTTATTTCCAGGTCTGAGACCAGGACTACCCAACACTTTTGCTCATTGGTTAGTATTCTACCAACTGCGCCATTCCTCCAACCCCTGGGGGTTTATTTTTCTATCTAAATAAAATATTGGTCCTGGTCCTTTTAAAATATACTGAAAGGGGCTGGGAAGGTGGCTGAGTGGTAGAGTGCTTGCCTTGCATGCATGAGGCCCTGGGTTTGATTCTTCAGTAACAAATAAACAGAAAAAGTGTGTGGGGGGGAAGTGCAAGGGGGTGGATAGTGGGGGTGGGGAGATAGGAAGGGAGGGGAAGGGGAAACAAAGGAGGAGGCAATAATGCTTGATAAGAAATGTACTCATTACCTTGCCCATGTAATTGTAACTCCTCTGTAAGGTATTTTCACAATTTAAAAAAAGAAAAAGTGGGCTGGGAAGGTGGCTGAGTGGTAGAGTGCTTGCCTTGCATGCATGAGGCCCTAGGTTCAATTCCTCAGTACCACATAAGCAAAAAAAAGCCGGAAGTGGTGCTGTGACTCAAGTGGTAGAGCGCTAGCCTCAAGCTGAAGAGATGAGGGACAGAGTTTAGACCCTACAACTGACAATAAATAAATAAACAAACAGAAAATGCTGGAAGTGGTGCTGGGCCAAGTGGTAGGGTACTAGCCTTTAGCAAAAAGCTCAGGGACAGTGCCCAGACCCTGAGTCCAAGCCCCAGGACTGGCAAAAAAAAAAAAAGAAGAAGAAAAGGAAAAAGAAATGAGCTATTAAATCCTTACAACAGCTAGTTAAAACTAATGTGTACAAAATCTTTAATCAATATGACTCTAACTGGCCAAAACAAATAACTTAAAAGTAACAGACATATACACAATGAGTCTACAAAACAGATCAGAGAACAGTTGTTCAGAATGCTTCGCAAATCTTAAAACACAGTTTTAAATCAGAAGGGCTTTCAAATTATAATTAAAAGTTTCCAGTAGTTTCACAGGTATAGGTTTAATATCCTTTACCTGAAAGGGTGTGAAAAGATGTGTTTCTGATTTTGGAATTCTTTAGATTTTAGAAAATTTATGTAGATTTTATTGATTGAACATTCTTTTTTTGAAAATCTGAAATCTGAAGTCTAAAGTCTTTTCAGCATCAAATATTAACATTCAAAACCTTTGAGATTTCAGGCTAGGAATACTCAAGGTGTACCTAAATTCAGCCTTCTCTAAGTTAAGCAGTAGCACTGCAATACACTCATACACAGGCTTGCCAAAATTCAAATAAATTTCACAAAGTTTAATAATCTAATAAAAGTCTCTCTTCATAAAGCCAAACATAATTTTGGGAACTATCTACAAAATGAAGACATTTCTAGGTATGCATATATCCCCCATTACAATATCCTATTTAAATCAAAGACACTCACAAAAAACCTCCAACTAGCCAGGCAGTGGTGGCTTCAGGTTCTAGGGATTGAGAACATTCATTTGGTTCAAGATAGGACAGACATGAAATGTTTTATGTTGGTTGCCTGAGGCACATCTACCTATATTGATAATTTGGTATAGCCTATGATATTACAAATATCCAAATGGCCCTTGGCAAAAAAAAGGATCCCCAACCCTGTTTAAAGAAAACTGTTCTCTGGATTAAATCAAGGATATACATAGATTTCTAAACTGTCTTTTAAGCCAGGCATGGTGGCTCCTGCCTATAATCACAGCTAAGTAGGTGGCAAAGATGGAGGAAGAAGATGATCATGGTTTGAGGCTAGACTAGGCAAAAAGTTATCATGACCTCAATAAAAAACAAGCTGTCTCATGGATATTATTACTGTATCATATACAGGTTATAAATTGAATTTGCAATGGTGAGACAACCTAAGAAGCTATTGCCTTAAAAGCTAATATATCCTAGAAAGGTTTCTAGGATATAATTTTTATAATTAGGACTGTATGTCTAACTGGATAGTTCTAGAGCATAAACAGCATTTCTATTATTGGTAAGCTGGGAAAATTTATATGAGCTTCTCATTAATTTAATATCCATTCTTACCCAAATGTTTAGAAAAATCATTATCTAAATGTATGGAAATTCCATAAAATCAGAGGGTCTTATCACTAAATATAAGTTTCATTTGTACAAGATCAGATCCTACATTTTCAAAATGTTCCTGTGTTCTTATGATTTATGTTTTATAGTACAGCAACACCCCCTTCACAACGACTAGTGATCATATTACCAATTTCAGTCCATGTATCTGAGTGGGGGTTATATACTTCAACTGAGTCCAAGGTAACAGGGGCCAAAAAATCATGGCTGGAAGATCGGCCTCCAGAAACATACAGAAGACCATTGACTGCCACAACACACATGCCTGCTCTAGGCACTTTCATTGAGGCAACTTCAACCCACTTTTCCTGTTAAGGGAAGAAAAAAAAAAAATGTTAGTAGGGTCACAAAATGGTAATAAAATCTCAGAAATCAAATATTCTGATTCTTCTTGCATATTTAAGTTACAAATAATCCAGTCAAATTTTTGACTGCCATGATAAATTTTTGAGTAGGTATGGACAAAGTAGTAACGTTAGAGAAAAATCATAAGGAAATATATGATTATAAATTATGAGCAGGAGGTGCTCTCAATCTATATATAGACTAATGTTCTGAGACATTAGGTCTGGGAAATACAAGAAGGTACTATGCTAATTTTGTATAGCCTGAGAACAAAAAATGAGTTTTCCATTTTAAAAGGTCGCTTTTAAAAGAGGAAAGAAAAATACTTCCAAGTGGTAGAGTGCTCGCCTTGAGCTGAAGAGCTGAGGGACAGAGCCCAGACTTAGAGTTTAGGCCCCACAACCGGACCCCCCCAGAAAAAGAAAAAAAAGTGGAAAGAGAAGAATAGAGAGGGAACTCAGTGGTAGGATTCCTCCTGGGTTCTATCCACAGCATAAATAAATAAAGGAAAGAAAAAGATATATAATAACACTAAAATAAATAAATAAAATTTAAAAAAAACATAAAACCTGCCAGATGCTGGTGGCTGTAGCCAGTAATACTAGGTATTCAGGAAGCTGAGATCTAAGGAATGTGATTTAAAGCCAGCCCAGGCAGGAAAGTTGATGAGGCTCTTAGCTCCAATTAATGACACAAAAAGGCTAAAAGTGAAGCTGTGGCTCAAGTAGTACAGCATGAATTCAAGGCCCAGTACTGGCATGCGCATGCACGCGCACACGCGCACACACACACACACACACACACACACACACACACACACAAAACTTAGCTATAGTTATGATACATTATAATAGAGTAGACTTCAACACAAAGATAGAAATATTTCATTTATGGGCTGGGAAGGTAGCTCAGTAGTAAGAGTGCTTGTCTTGCATGCATGAGGCCATAGGTTCGATTCCTCAGCACCACATAAGCAGAAAAAGCCAGAAGTGGCACTGTAGCTCAAGTGGTAGAGTGCTAGCCTTGAGCTGAAGAGCTGAGGTACAGCGCCCAGTCCCAGAGTTCAGGCCCAACAACTGACCAAAAAAAAAAAGAAAGAAAGAAAAGAAATATTTCATTTATGACCAGAAAAATATTCATTAAGAAGATGTAACAAAGCCGGGCGCTGGTGGCTCACGCCTGTAATCCTAGCTACTCAGGAGGCTGAAATCTGAGGATAGCGGTTCAAAGCCAGCCTGAGCAGGAAAGACCATGAGACTCCTATCTCCAATAAACCACCAGAAAACCGGAAGTGGCGCTGTAGCTCAAGTGGTAGAGCGCTCGCCTTGAGCTGAACAGCTGAGGGACAGCGCCCAGGCCCAGAGTTCAAGCCCCACGACCGACAAAAAATAAAAATAAAAAAATAAAAAAAAAAGAAGATGTAACAAAGCTTCAAAATATGTAAGGCAAAACCTGACATAAGCCAGGCCCTGGGGGCTCATGCCTGTGAACCTAGCTACTCAAGAGGCTGAGATCTGAGGATCATGGTTCAAAGCCAGCCCTGGCAGAAAAGTCCATGTGACTCTTATCTCCAATTGACTACCTGAAAACAAGAAGTGGAGCTGTGGCTCAAAGTAGTAGTGCTCAAGCCTTGAGTACAAAAGCTCAGGGACAGTGCCCAGGCCTTGAGTTCAAGAACTACAGCTGAAAAAAAATACAAAACAATGCCAGTGAAGGTGGCTCATGCCTATAATCCTAGCTATGAATGAGGCTAAGATCTGAGGATCACATTCTAAGCCAGCCTGAGCAGGAAAGTCTGTGAGACTCTTATCTCCAATAAACAACTCAGAAAACCAGAAGTGGCCCTGTGGCTCAAGTGGTAGAGTCCTAGCCTTGAGCTGAAGAAGTGAGGGACAGCCCCCAAGCCCAGAGTTCAAGCCCCAGGACAGACAAAAAACAAAAACAAGGGGCTGAGAAGGTGGCTCAGTGGTTGAGCACTTGCCTTGCATGCACGAGGCCCTGGGTTCGATTCCTCAGCACCACATAAGCAAAAAGAAAAAAGCTGGAAGTGGCGCTTTGGTTAAAGTGGTAGAGCGCTAGCCTTGAGCTGAAGAGCTGAGGGACAGCACCCAGGCCCAGAGTTAGGCCCCAAGACCGAACCCCCAAAAAACAACAACAACAAAAAAAACAACAACACATAAATCAAAGGAGAAACAGACAAATCCTTAATTACAGATGGAGATATCAGCATTCTTTTTTTCTGGTTTGGTTTTTTTATCTTTTTTTTTTTTTTACATTTTTTATTATTATATCTTTAGTTGTACAAAGTTCTACAAAAGAGTATATGAGTACAAAGTGTCTGACAACATTGTTACCCATCGCTCCTAACCCATCTCTTCTCTCACTTTTATTTATTTATTTATTTTTTTGGGTCTGGTCGTGGGGCCTGAACTCTGGGCCTGGGTGCTGTCCCTCAGCTCTTCAACTCAAGGCTAGCGCTCTACCACTTGAGCCACAGCACCACTTCCGGCTTTTTTCTTTTTGCCTATGTGGTGCTGAGGAATCGAACCCAGGGCCTCAAGCATGCAAGGCAAGCGCTCTACCACTGAGCCACCTTCCCAGCCCTCTTCTCTCACTTAAAAAAAAATTTTTTTTTAATTCCACAGAATTGTGGAATAGTGAGTGGTACTTAGTTAAAGTCACAAACACATTTTAACCTTCACAAGGCAAACTGTCATTATCATGGTCTATGAAGTTTGAGAATTCTATGAGGCTTGACAATACAAAGATATCAGCATTCTTAATAACTGACACAATGGTTCAACAAATCGGACTAGATTTAATAACCAACTTGACCTAATGGACTTTATTTAGTTCAAGTCCCACAACCAACTAACCACCCAAAAAAGAAGAAGCAGTACAAAATAAGTGAAATCAATCACATACCTGTAAATTAAATACATCTCTTTTTCTTTTTGGTGCTAGGGAAAACCTAGGGTCTTACATTTGCTAAGTATGTACTTTACTATTAAGCTATAACCACAGTCCCAAACATGCTTCTAATAAACCACTAGTCAAAGAATAAACTACTAGAGAAATTAAAAAATATTTGGGTCAAGCTACTCAGGAAACTGAGATTTGAGGATCATAGCTCAAAGCCAGCCTGGGCAGGAAAATCCATTAAACTCTTACCCTTCAATAAGCCACAAGTGGAGCTGTAGCCAAAGCAATAGAGTACTAGACTTGAGCAAAAAAAGCTCAGGGTCAGGGCCCAGACCCTGAGATCAAGCCCCATGACTGGCACAATATAGCTAAAGTGCTGTTCAAAGAACAGTTACAGATTTAAATAATTGTATTACAGTCAGGCATGGTAATATAGATAGATAGATAGATAGATAGATAGATAGATAGATAGATAGATAGATAGATATAGATATAATCCCAGCATCTAGGAAGCAGAGGCAGAAGGATCTCAAGTTTGTGGTTAGTCTGGCTTAAAAGTGAGATACTCTCAAAAAAATGTATTATATTGGGGCTGGGAAGGTGGCTCAGTGGTAGAGTGCTTGCCTTGCATGCTCGAGGCCCTGGGTTCAATTCCTCAGCACCACATAAGCAAAAAGAAAAAAGCCGGAAGTGGCTCTGTGGCTCAAGTGGTAGAGCGCTAGCCTTGAGCTGAAGAGCTGAGGGACAGCACCCAGGCCCAGAGTTCAGGCCCCACAACCGGACCCAAAAAAAAAAATGTATTATAGAGAATGTATAATCAGTCATCTCAACTTCTAAAAAGAAGGGCAAAACCCAAAATAAACAGGAGGAAGGACTTAATAATAAAAATATAAATAAAATAGATTTGGACAATCAATACAAAAAAATCAATGAGTTGGCTCTTTGAAAAGAAAGAGGAAAAAAACATAAAATGATCAAAATCATAAGGGGCTGGGAAGATGGCTCAGTGACAGAGCGCTTGCCTTGCATGCATGAGGCCCTCAGCACCACATAAGCAAAAAGAAAAAAAACCGGAAGTGGTGCTGTGGCTCAAGTGGTAGAGTGCTAGCCTTGAACTGAAGAGCTGAGGGACAGTGCCCAGGCCCCAGAGTTCAGGCCCACGACCGGACCCAAAAGAAAAAATAAATAAATAAAAGACAAAGAACATCACTTATAAAGGTAATTAAAAGGAAATCAGTTACAACATTCGAAATTATTCAACCTACCTCTTCAAAGGAATACTTTTCTACAGTATGAAGAGCATCTTGTGTTTCATTCCATCCACCAATAGAATAGATGCAGTCATTGAGTGCTGCCACCCCAAGATATGCTCTCCGGGTTCCCATTGGAGGAAGTGGAGACCATCGCTTAGAAAGTGGATCATAAACTTCACAAGAACGAAGCTCTATTCCTTCATTGCTGAGTCCCCCAATTACATAAATTAAACCTGGAAACAGAATATTTTTGTTCAGATGCTAGAGAAAATAAGATGCAGTGATGAAAATAATAGTTGTGATCTGTTTTATTATTATATTTAATTCCAGGACTTGCAATATTATTTAAAAGAAAAATATCTACTCTGTCTAGATTATTATTATTATTATCATTTTTTGGGGGGTCCGGTCATGGGGCCTGAACTCTGGGCCTGGGTGCTATCCCTCAGCTCTTCAGCTCAAGGCTAGCATTCTACCACTTGGGCCACGGCACCACTTCCAGCTTTTTCTGCTTAGGTGGTGTTGAGGAATCGAACCCAGAGCCTCATGCATGTAAGGCAAGCACTCTACCAATGAGCCACCTGCCCAGATCATCACTGCCTTTTTTAGTGACAGTCTACATGTTGCTTGTGCAGACAAAAAATAGAGAATTTAAATTAGAATAGTTATATAGATTAAGATATCAGAATTGATCACTAGGTATAAACGCATGAATTCAGAGTTCCTTCTTAAATGATTTGAATCTTCAGATTCAACTATAAATGAAAGGGGTTGAAATAGATATTTTGAAAATTCCCATATAGCTCCATGATAGAAGTAGAGAATACCATAATGGTAAATAATAAAATCCAGGTTATATAATTTGAACATTTAAACACTAGTAGAAACAGAAGAAGGTATGGTACTCTCCAAGCTGGAAACAAAAGCTAACAGAACACAATGGGCATATTTTCTTCTTCTTCCACATATACACATAAATTTTCTCTCCAACCCTGAACAGAAATCTGCTCCTATTTTATAGTGCTTACTATCTATCTACTCTTAAACTACAATAGGCAAAATAATGTCCATGCATCTTTTTTTGTGTATCTGCTACTGGAGTCTGAAGTCAGGGCCTCACACTTTTTAGGTAGGTGTTTGTCCACATAAACACCCAGCCCTTTATGCTTTAGTAACTTCTTTCTTTTTTTGTGCCTGTCCTGGGGTTTAAACCCAGGGCCTGGTTGCTGTCCCTGAGCTCTTTTGTTCAAGGCTAGTGCTCTACCACTTGAGCCACAGCTCCACTTCTGGATTTTTTAGTAGTTAATTGGAGAAAAGAATCTCACAGGGGCTGGGAAGGTGGCTCAGTGGTAGAGCGCTTGCCTTGCATGCCTGAGGCCCTGGGTTCGATTCCTCAGCACCACATAAGCAAAAAGAAAAAAGCCGGAAGTGGTGCTGTGGCTCAAGTGGTAGAGTGCTAGCTTTGAGCTGAAGAGCTGAGGGACAACACCCAGGCCCAGAGTTCAGACCCAAAAAAACAAACAAACAAACAAAAAAAGAATCTCACAGATTTTCCTGCCTGGGTTAGTTTTGAAACTTGATCCTCAGATCTCAGCCTGCTGAGAAACTAGGATTACTAGGTGTGAGCCACCAGCACTTAGCACTTTAGTAACTTTTCAGGTATTTTTCAGCTTCACCTTTTTTCCCAGGGCCAGATTCAGACCATGATACTCCTACCTATATCTCTTGTGTAGCCGGGATTACCAGTATGAGCTAGCATGCTCAGCTCTATTCACCATTTAACATGCATTTTAATCAGAGGATTTGAAATGTACATTGAATGGCACTGAATTATTTATTTATTTATTTTGCCAATCCTGGGGTTTGAAATCAAGGCTTGAGCAATTATCTGAGCTTTTGCTCAAGGCTAGAATTCTACCACTTCACCCACAGTGCCACTTCCAGCTTTCTCTATTTATGCGGTACTGAGGAATCAAATCTAGGGCTTCATGCATGCTAGGCAAGCACTCTACTACACCACATTCCCAACCCCAGAATTTTTTTTAAAAGTGAAAGTCTGTAAGTAGAACCCATGAAAAGCTTTTTAATTCTCTGTTCTTACTTTGAAAAATTAACTCAGGAGAAAAAAAATGGCAATGGATAACAACTCAAGTGCTCATTTTGCTAGCCAGGTATTTGTCTAGGTGGTGTCTTTAATATAGCTCTGTTTATTACCACAAAAAATCAATTTAAAGGAAATTGAATACTATTGAAATAGATTATTTGCAATTATGAAAATGAAACAAGGAAACCTGTTAAGAGATGTCACTTTTCCAGAGGAGTCAGGGAGTGTGATAAAGTAGGAATCATTATAGCACAGTGTAAACATGTGTGAAGATATAACAATAAAATCCCCCCTCATCCATATAACTAGGATAAGCTAATTTAGAAATACAGAAATAAAGGTCAATAAAATAAGCAAAAGGCAGAACTTCTATAGTGTTTCTATCAGTCATTCATACTAACAATTCAAATGTTGTAAAATAACAGGCTCAAATACAAGTTTTTAAAATACATTCATATTAAGGAAAACAATTTTTTGTAGTACTGGGGATTGAAGAGGGAAAATTATTTATAAATGTGCTTACCTTGCATTTCACAACAACCAAAGTAGTAGCGTGACACAGCCATGTTGCCAACCAATTCCCATTTATTTTCATCAGGATCAAAACGTTCAATAGTATTCCCTATCTCAGCTCCAACCCATCCACCTGTAATCAAATAGAAGGATATTTATAGGATAAATCAATCTCTTTTTTGTTGTTGTTGTTGTGGGGCTTGAATTCAGGGCCTGCTGTCCCCAAGCTTTTTCGATCAAGAATAGCACTCTAATCACTTTGAGCCACAGCTCCACTTCTGGTTTTCTGGTGGTTAATTGGAGGTAAGAGTCTCACGGATTTTCCTGCCAGGGCTTCCATCAAACATCAATCATCAGATCTCAGCCTCCTGAGTCACTAGAATTATAGGCGTGAGCCACCAGCACCCAGTAAAACACATATTTCTTATGGGATAGAAGAAACTTGCTTTCTGGGTTTTTGTTTTTGTTTTTGCCATTCCTGGGACTTGAACACAGGGCCTGAACACTGTCCTTGAGCTCCTTTTGCTCAAGGCTAGCACTCTACCACTTGAGCCACAGCACCACTTCTGGCTTTTTCTATTTACATGGTACTGAGGGATAGAACCCAGGGCTTCATGAATGCTGGCAAGCACTCTATCACTAAACTACATTCCTGGCCCCGAAGAAACATTTCTAAAGTAACCAGAAAGTAAGAACTTTAATAATATTAGCTAATGTTAAATTAAACAGCATAATTACCCAAAGCATAGATAGCTCCATAAGACACACATACTCCCAAACCACAGCGGGGTTGATTCATTGAAGCTACAGTTGTCCACTGCTTTGTAACTGGATCATAGCATTCAGTACAGTCAAAAATCATTGAATCTTTTTCACCTAATTTAAATAGGAGACACACAAATTGGAAGACTTAGTAATGCTAACAAAACCATTATTAGTATTTAACAAAATCTTATACTATTTAGTGGCATTCCTTGCTTTCAGAAATTCAACCATTTTGCCTAATTTTAAAATATTCATTAAAAGTCTTTGCCTATGAAACACTATTTTGAATCCATAGCATTACCATTTATTAAAGCCCATTTATGGTACAAAGGTACAATTTTCCTCTCATTTATTTATAATTTTATCACCCAAATAATGAATGACAATCTTTAAGACATTTTAAGACAATCTTTAAGACATAACATTTTAACATTTTTTCTTTGTTTTTGTCAGTGGTGGGGCTTGAACTCTGGGCTTGGCCGCTGTCCCTGCGCTCTTCAATGCAAGGTGAGAGCTCTACCACTTGAACCTCAACGCCATTTCCGGTTTTCTGGTGGTTAATTGGAGATAAGAGTCTCATGGACTTTCTTGCTGGAGATGGCTTTGAACCATGATCCTCAGATCTCAGCCTCCTGAGTAGCTACAATTACAGGCGTGAGCCACTGGCACCTGGCTTAATTTTTTTTTTTTTCAGGTATTTTTATGGGTAGTTGACGCTGGTAAAATGTGAGTTTTACTGTAATCATAATTTTTATATAGCAATAAAAGAAAATAGAAGTTTAAAAATGTACCACTTAAGGGCTGGGAAGGTGGCTCAGTGGTAGAGCACTTGCCTTGCATGCCTGAGGCCCTGGGTTCAATTCCTCAGCACCATATAAGCAAAAAGAAAAAAGCTGGAGGTGGCGCTGTGGCTCAAGTGGTAGAGTGCTATCCTTGAGCTGAAGAGCTGAGGGACAGCACCCAGGCCCAGAGTTCAGGCCCCACGACTGGACCCAAAAAAAAAAAAAAAAAAAATATATATATATATATGCCACTTAAATAGAAATTTTAAATATACTAAAAAGTCTATAGCTGGATATGATACCAAAATGCTTGTAATTCTCGCACCCAGAGAGCTGAGGTAGGAGAATTGGCAGGCTGAGCTTTATAATACCATCCTTTCTCAGAAAAAAAAAAAAAAAATTGTCTAGGGGCTGGAGGTATAGCTCTGAGATAGGAGTACATGCTTAGCATGCATGAGGCCCTGGCCCTGGGTTCAATTCCTGACACCACATCCTCTCTACCTGACCCCCCAAAAGTCAGTTTAACGAAACACTGCAAGACTACAATTAATAAAAATTTTAAACTTGGGGCTGGGAAGGTGACTCAGTGGTAGAGCGCTTCTCTTGCATGCCTGAGGCCCTGGGTTCAATTCCTCAAGCACCACATAAGCAAAAAGAAAAAAGCCGGAAGTAGTGCTGTGGCTCAAGTGGTAGAGCACTAGCCTTGAGCTGAAGAGCTGTCAGGCCCCATAACCAGACCCCCCCCAAAAAAAAATTTTTTTTAAACTTTATTTAGATAAAGTTTTAAATTCAGGAACAAATAAATAAAATAAGAGATGATAGGTTCATGAATTATAATAATCAATGTAAATATAATTATTTCTAAATTGATGCATAGATTTAATATAATTCCAAAGCCTCCCCCCATTTTTTTTTTTTCAAGTTGGTTGTGGGGCTTGAACTCTGGGCCTGGGTGCTATCCCTGAGCTCTTCAGCTCAAGACAAGCCCTCTACCACTTTGAGCCACAGCACCACTTCTGGTTTTCTGATGGTTAATTGGAAATAAGAGTCTCATGGATTTTTCTGCTCTACTAGCTCTGAACCAAGATTCTCAGATCTCAGCCTCCTAAGTAGCAAGGATTACAGGTGTGAGCCACTGGTGCTTGGCCAAAATTAATATTTAAACAGATTTTACAAAGATTCTAAAATTCATATAAAAGCACCAAGAATCAAAATAGCCAAGCAATTACTAGAAAAGGATAATAAAGAAATTGAGAAACAACCTTGTCATATTGGAAAAACTTATAATAGACACAGAATAATTAAGATAGGGACAGACAGCAGAGTGCTGGTGGCTCAGGCCTGTAATCCTAGCTACTCAGGAGGCTGAGATGTGAGGACTGCAGTCCAAAGCCAGCTCAGGCAGGAAAGTCCATGAGCCTCTTATCTCCAATAAACCTCTCAGAAAACTGGAAGTGGTGCTATGGCTCAAGTGGTAGAGCGCTAGCCTTGAGGTGAAGAGCTGGGGGACAATGCCCAGGCCCAGAGTTCAAGCCTCATGACCAAAAAAAAAAAAAAAAAAAAAGATAGGGACAGACAGAGAAACTAATAGAACTGAAAAGAAATCTAAGAACTGAGCCATGAACGTGAGGGTTACCACAGAACACTAAGGAAACAAGTATTTTATGTTATGATAATTGATTGTTTATAAGGGGGAAAATGAAATTGGTTCCCTACTTCATAATATCCATAAAAACTCAAGTCATCTAGGTATATCTCAGACATAAATATGAATGGCAAAAACAATAAAACCTTATCAAAACAATGAAGCCTATGATCTCAGCTACTTGAAGGGGAAGATATAAAGGACTTACCTCAAGGATACACTAGACAAAAAGTTAGCAATTGCCAGGTGCCAGTGGCTCATGCATGTAACCCTAGCTACTCAGGAGGCTGAGATCTGAGGATTGCGGTTCAAAGCTAGCCCGTGCAGGTAAATCCGCAAGACTCTAATCTCCAATTAACCACCAGAAAACTGGGAAGTAGCACTGTGGCTCAAGTGGTAAAGCGCTAGCCTTGAGCTTAAGAGCTGAGGGACAGTTCCCAGGCCCAGAGTTCAAGCCATACAACCAAAAAAAAAAAAAGCTAGCAATCGATAAGCCAAGTGCAGTGAGGCATAGAAGGCTACAGTTAAGTGGATTTCAATCAAATGCTGGACTGAGCGAAAGTGATGAGACACTAACTGAAAAATAACAAAGGGTTGGGCATGCCTAGCAGGCATGAGGCTCTGACATCAAATACCAGCATTTCTTTTTTGTTGTTGTTGTTTTTTGTTGTTTTGTTTTTTTGGGTCCGGTTGTGATGCCTGAACTCTGGGCCTGGGCGCTGTCCCTCAGCTCTTCAGCTCAAGGCTAGTGCTCTACCACTTGAGCCACAATGCTACTTCTAGCTTTTTTTCTTTTTGCTTATGTGGTGCTGAGGAATCGAACCCAGGGCCTCATGCATGCAAGGCAAGCACTCTACCACTGAGCCACCTTCCCAGCCCAAATACCAGCATTTCTGTTTTGGTTTTTATTTGTTTTGGTTTTTATTTTGGGTCCTGTCGTGGGACTTGAACTCTGGGCCTGGGCGCTGTCCCTCAGCTCTTCAGCTCAAGGCTAGCGCTCTACCACTTGAGCCACAGCGCCACTTCTGGTTTTCTGGTGGTTTATTGGAGATAGGAGTCTCACGGTCTCTCCTGCCCGGGCTGGCTTTGAACCACGATCCTCAGATCTCAGCCTCCTGAGTAGCTAGGATTACAGGCGTGAGCCACCAGCGCCTAGCTTAAAACAAAATTTTTAAATGAAGTATATGTATAACCCGGCATGAGGCTCATGCTTGTAATCCGAGCTACACCAGAGACTGAGATATGAGGATTGTGGTTCAAAGTCAGCCTGGGAGGGGCTGGGAAGGTGGCTTAGTGGTAGAGTGCTTGCCTTGCATGCCTGAGGCCCTGGGTTCAATTCCTCAGCACCACATAAGCAGAAAAAAGCCGGAAGTGGTGCTATGGCTCAAGTGGTAGAGCGTTAGCCTTGAGCTGAAGAGATGAGGGACAGCGCCCAGGCCCAGAGTTCAGGCCCTACAACCACAAAAAAAAAAAAAAAAAAGAAAAAAGCCGGAAGTGGTGCTGTGGCTCAAGTGGTAGAGTGCTAGCCTTCAGCTGAAGAGCTCAGGGATAGCGCTCAGGCCCAGAATCCAGGCCCTACAACTGGCCAAAAAAAAAAAAATCTGAGGAAATTGACTACTTTAGTTTAGACAGGTTAAAGTTTGAAGTACATATTGGACATTCAGGTAAAAATGAAGTAGATAGCTGTTTCATACATTTTTTTGAAATTTTTCATGAAAGGAGCACGTAAGTATTCCATCTTGGGATAAACCACAGGATTACTCTAGTGTAAAACATTCAACTTGTGTTCTTTTCCCTTTCTCCTTCCATAAATATTTATTTATTGAACAATTCTGTATTTATGAATATCAAACAACACTTATCAATATGATATAAGACATATAAGAGGGGCTGGGAAGGTGGCTCAGTGGTAGAGCGCTTGCCTTACATGCTCGAGGCCCTGGGTTCGATTCCTCAGCACCACATAAGCAAAAAGAAAAAAGCCAGAAGTGGCGCTGTGGCTCAAATGGTAGAGCGCGGAAGGGGGGACCAAGATGGCGACGGGGCAGTAGGGAAACGCCACAGCTCTCCCCAACCAAAAAGAGAGTTCGAGTTCCAACGCTTAATCTCCCCCAAGAGACCGACAACAAAAAGACGAACACTCAGAGAAAAACAGGAGGTGGAAAATAACAAAAAAGAAAGAGAGGAAAAGAAGAATTTCAGAACAGAGAAGAGCGAAGACCCCTCCCCCAATCTTTACTGGCCGCGAGGCAACGCGCCAAGCCACGGCCAGCCGGCCCGGCGGGGGCTGTCGGAGCCCCAGAGACACAGGGGGCTGCCTGCAGATCACCCACGCAGAAGCCGCCTGAGGTACCGGTTTGCAGACCAGCTGATCGCCACGAACAGAGAAACCTACCAGCCGGGAGTCTCCACGAAGATCCCACCCCCACCCCTCACTCTCCACCTGAGCAGAGAGGCTTCATCCCGCCAAAGCCGAAGCCGCCTGAGGCACCAGATCCGCCCGATCGCAAAGACCCAGCTGGGGCGCCCGGGTCCCAGAGGCACAGGGGGCTGCCTGCAGATCACCCGCGCAGAAGCCGCCTGAACGTGGACACTGTGGACCTGACAGCTTCGATAGAGGCAGAGACAGAAAAGAATCACACAGAGCCACCACCGCCCAGCCCAGCCCACAACCACCCCAACTGAACTCGGATTGCAACAGCAACTGACAACCTACACCACACAGAATCAACTAGCTCCAGGGTGAGTACCCCACAGGGGACAGTGTATCCCTCAAGGGAGACCAGAGCTGGAGGGAATCCCCAGACCCTGACCCAGACTCCCTACCCCAACACCCGACCACAGGACCCACTAAAACTGGGAACTGTTCGAGAGCTCCACCAGCCCGTAGAGCACACTCCGCTGGCCAGGATAGAGCAAGAGCGCCCCTGGAAGGGAGCTTAAATGCCCAAGCCAGGAACAGCGCCCCTGGGTCAAGACAACCAACAGTAGAAGAAATTTGAACTGTGTACCCCAGGCTGCATAACCTAGGTGGTATACACAGCAGCACAGGCCCAACGAGCGCGCTCCAGGTGGGGCCGGAACCAGGCCCGGGGATCCGGCGCCTGAACAACACAACCAACTCCTCCCAACTGAAGTCAAAAGCTGAGCATATGCCTCAGCAGAGGGGAGAGGAACAGGGAACAGCACCCCCTGGGAAGCACGCCTGTGACAACAAAAGACCTGGAGGCCCAGGACAAGAGAAGCCCAAACCCCACCAAAACCCCACCCATATCCTCTAGGCTGGGAATTGGGCAACACAGGCCGCCAGCACCTGATTTGTAAGCTGGAACTCAGGCTGATAAGGCGGCTCAGCAGTAAAGTGATAGTCTTGGATGTATGAGGCCCTGGATCTGATTCCTCAGCATCACAAAAGCAAAAAGGGTCAGAAGTGGTGCTGTGGTAGGGTGCCAGCCTTGAGCTGAAGAGCTGAGGGACAGCACCCAAACCTAGAGTTCAAGCCCACAACCAGCCCAAAACAAATAAACAAAAACACATCAGGAGCCCATAGCAGACTCCAGCATCTGGGAGAGTGCATCTAGAGCATCTGATCTTCCCAAGAGCACCCGTAGGAGCAAACACAAGCAAAGGCGAGAATTGCCAGCGATCTACAGCAGAGAGCCGAGAATCCTAAGTAGGTCTGACCAGCAGCTGGAAATAGGCTCCCAACAGAACCCAGATCAGGCACAGACTCTCTACCAATACAGAATCAGCAACCAAGCAAAGACAGACACACCAAAACAAAATTGCAGATTAGTCTCCTGAACCACCATGCGAAAATCACAGAGAAAAATTACAAGGTTTACCACCACCCAGGGCAGCAAGCTCACCTCAAAAGCCAGCAGCCACGCAGGGGAGAGCCCCAGTGGGAGCAAAGCAGGAATTGAAGACAAAAGCTACATCCAAGGGTTGCTAGAGGCAATGACTCAAGAAATAAAGCGAGAAATTGATCAGAAATTGAAAGAGCACAAGGACGAACTATCAAAAGAGATACAGGATATCAAACAAAAGATGCATGCAAAAATAGAAGCTGCACAAACCTCAGTAATAAGTGAGATAAACGCCAAATTAGAGGTAATGCATACTGATCTCACAGGTGAGATCAGTACTATAAGAACCAACATCGAGGGCTGGGAAGGTGGCTCAGTGGTAGAGTGCTTGCCTTGCATGCATGAGGCCCTGAGTTCGATTCCTCAGCACCACATAAGCAAAAAGAAAAAAAGCCGGAAGTGGCGCTGTGGCTCAAGTGGTAGAGCGCTAGCCTTGAGCTGAAGAGCTGAGGGACAGCGTCCAGGCCCAGAGTTCAGGCCCCACAACCGGACCCAAAAAAAAAAAAAAAAGAACCAACATCGAATCCATAATGGGATCCATTTCCTCCATGCAAACCACAATAGAAGCCACGGTCAACAGAGTGAATGAAATGGAAGATAGAGTGTCAGATACAGAAGTGGTAGAGCGCTAGCCTTGAGCTGAAGAGCTGAGGGATAGCGCCCAGGCCCAGAGTTCAGACCCACAACCGGAACCAAAAAAAAAAAAAAAAAAGACATATAAGAATGTAACCAAGTAGTGTTGAGAGAAGGCAGAAGACACACACAAACACAAAATGTTGTCAAACAGACTAATAAGGAAAAATAAGACATTTTTCTTATTACCTCCAATAGCATAGACCATCCCTCCCAGAACTGCTACTCCCAGTCCACATCGAGCCTGATGAAGTGAAGACACAGTGGTCCAGTACTGGCTAAAGGTATCAAAACGTTCTACACAGCTGAGGGCTCTGCTATCACTCCAACGACCCCCCTGCAACCGTGTGTATCCACCTAAACAAAGGAAGCAGAAAAAGTACACATCAAATCTCTTACTGCCAAATGAAAAGTAATAGTAATGAGGGAAGTCTAGCCTTTTGTACCTAAATGTTCAGTATAACTACTGTTCTAAGAAATAAAGGATATCCATCTATATATGTATGTATGCATATATATATATATATTATTCTTTTTTTTTTTTGCTGGTCGTGGCCCTGAACTCTGGGCCTGGGTGCTGTCCCTCAGCTCTTCAGCTCAAAGCTAGTACTCTACCACTTGAGCCACAGTGCCACTTCCAGCTTTTTCTGCTTATGTGATGCTGAGGAGTCGAACCCAGGCCCCCATGCATGCAAGGCAAGCACTCTACCACTGAGCCATCTTCCCAGCCCCATATATATATATTATTCTTAAATATGCCAAGTCTTATAAGTTTATGGTTTATATGCAGTAAGGTTATCTGTGTTTTATCTGGTTTGCAGTATAACAGAAAGTTAGATGAAATATAAATCAAGGTACTAATTATATGTCTATATCTCATTATTTTCACTTCCAATTAAAATTAGTGGGTTGGGGCTAGAAAGGTATCTCAGTGGTACAATGCTTGCCTCGCATGCATCAGGCCCTGGGTTCAATTCCTCAGAACCACATAAGCAGAAAAAGCTGGAAGTGGTGCTGTGGCTCAAGTTGTAGAGTGCTCGCCTTGAGCTGAAGAGCTGAGGGACAGCGCCCAGGTCCAGAGCTCAAGCCCACGACTGACGATCCTGGTTCAAAGCCAACCAAGGCAGGAAAAGTCTATGAGACTCTTATCTCCAATTAACCACCAGAAAACCAGAACTGGTGCTATGGATCAAAGTGGTAGAGAGCTAGCCTTGAGCTGAAGAGTGCAGGAACAGCACCCAAGCCCTAAGTTCAGGCCCCACGGCTGACCAAAAAAAAAAAATTAGCATACTCCTCAAACCTATATATTTATATATATATATATATATATATATGTCATACTATATATGAAATTATACATAAAATAAGATGTAATTATAAACTGCAATAAACATTTATACAAAATCTACCATTATATACAAAGAGAAGGAAATGGACAATCTTGTACTCTACATATTAAATATTGATCTAGTTTAATGCTTTTAAATTAAAAACAAAAAGAAGCTTCAATGTTTCTTTAATATAAATGCAACTTATAAATCCGAATGATAGATTAAATACTCACAAACACACCTGCAGACTTTAACAGGCACAGAAAAAAACAACAAACTATTAAAAAGTTTTTATTCTGAAAATAAACATAATTCCTATTACTATCACTCTCTTAAAGTTTCTCACCTACAGCATATAGGTACTTTCTTGCTTTCTTCCGTGGTCGAACCTTAGATGTCTGCAGAAAACTACAGAATTTATTCTCTTTGGGAGATTTGCATACCTCACAGTACTCCTTCAAAAGTGTTTGCAATGCAACACGAAGATTAAAGTCAGATACTCCTGAAGCAATATTTTAAAAAAAGAATGTTAATTCTGAAATAATACTGAAAAGACATATTTCTATAAATATAAGACACACTTGGTAATCAGCAAATAAAAATTCACCCTCAATGATTTTTTTTTCCTTCAATAAAAAACACTGATTTTTTTTCATTCCTATTGAAGCTGGCATAGTTCAACAAGATCATGATTATCAGGGCTGTCATGTAATCAAGTGTTAGAGCACAAGGGCCTGGGGTCCTTACAGGACTCTCATTCAAGGTAGAAAGGTTCAACACTTTGTCACAGAATATAATGGTAACCAAAGTCCATATTAGTGGTATATACCTTTAGCTAATTAGTTAAGCAGGCCTTGATTCAACATCAGTAACAGGCTCTAAAAAGAGATCAGAGCAAAAGTTACCAAGCCAGGAGGACATCAGCCCTAGTGAATCTGTGTTCCATCACCCTCCTGCTTCAGGCTACAAAGATGAGAACACATCATACTGTTCTCAAATTTTAGGCTAGAGAATACAAAGTAATTATGCTAAGATAAAAAGTGTTAAGATGAAGCCGGGCACCGGTGGCTCATACCTGTAATCCTAGCTACTAAGGAGGCTGAGATCTGAGGATCATGGTTCAAAGCCAGCCCGGGCAGGAAAGTACGTGAGACTCTGATTGCCAATTAACCACCAGAAAACTGGAAGTGGCACTGTGGCTCAAGTGGTAGAGCTCTAGCCTTGAGCTGAAGAGCGCAGGGACAGTGCCCAAGCCCAGAATTCAAGCCCCACAACCAACAAAAACAACAACAAAAGTGTTAAGGTGAATGAGCTCTTACATTATCAGAGTCAGGTTTCAGCAGACTAGGCCATAAGAATAAGACATCAAAAAAAATAATAATAACATTACATCTAACAAAGCATATCCCAGGAAATACAAAATATTGAAGAATTCAAATAATCCTGGAAGAAAACATTAGTCATAAATAGAAATGTATTTCCCAAAAGTGCTTCACATAAAAGAATCAATCTGCCAGGTACCAGTGGCTCATGCTTGTAATCCTAGCTACTCAGGAGGATGAGATCTGAGGATCCTGGTTCAAAGCCCACCCAGGCAGGAAAAGTCCATGAGATTATTATCTCCAATTAACCACCAGGAACCAGGAAATGGCACTATGGATCAAAGTGGTAGAGCGCTAGCCTTGAGCTGAAAAGCGTAGGGACAGCACCCAGACCCAGAGTTCAAGACCCACGATCAACCAAAAAAAAAAAAAAAAAAAAAAAATCAATCTAAGGATATAAATTCTATACACCAAGAATTTGAAGATAGAATTTGATGCATTGGTCAGGAAGCAACACTGAGAACTGAAAGAGTATTGCAGACTTACACAAAAATACAATGAATGATATGAGTAAAAGCTAAAATAACAATTTGGAAGCCGGGCGCCGGTGGCTCACGCCTGTTATCCTAGCTACTCAGGAGGCTGAGATCTTAAGATCATGGTTCAAAGCCAGCCCGGGCAAGAAAGTTTGTGAGACTCTTATCTCCAATAAACCACCAGAAAATCGGAAGTGGTGCTTTGGCTCAAGCGGTAGAGCGCTCGCCTTGAGCTGAAGAGCACAATGACAACGCCCAAGCCCAGAGTTCAAGCCCTACGACCGACCCAAAAAAAAAAAAATTAGGAGGAAAGTCTTAGAAAAACTGAGAAAGAAAATTTCTAACATTAGAAGATGATACAGATGAAAGACAAAAAAAGTTCCAGTTGGGTGCTGGTGGCTCATGCCTATAAATCCTCGCTACTTAGGAGGCTGAGATCTGAGGATCATGGTTCAGAGCCAGTCCTGGCAGAAAAGACCCCATCAGACTCTCATCTCCAATTAACCACCAGAAAACTGAAGTGAAGCTATGGGTCAAAGTGGTAGAGCACTAGTCTTGAGCAGAAAAGCTCAGGGAGAGTGCCTAGGATGAGTTCAAGCCCCACACCTGACAAAAAAATAAAGAAAGATGAATAATGGTTAGGAATGTAGCTCAGTAGTAGAATGTTTGTCTAGCATGCATGAAGCCCTGGGTTCAGTTCCTTAGTACATACAAGAAAAAGCCAGAAGTGGTGCTGTGGCTCAAGTAGTAGAGTGTTAGCCTTGAGCGAAAAAAGCTCAGGGACAGTGCCCAGGCCCTGAGTTCAAGCCCAAGGACAAAGAGAAAGACAGAAAGATAGACAGACAGACAGACAGACAGACCAGACAGAAAGAGGAAGGAAGGAAGGAAGGAAAGAAAGAGAGAGGGGGGGGAGGGAGGGAGGGAGGGAGGGAGGGAGGGAAGAAAGAAAGAAAGGGAGAAGAAAGAGAAAGAGAAAGAAAGAGAGAGGGACTGGGAAGGTGGCTCAGTGATAGAGCGCTTGCCTTGCATGCATGAGGCCCTGGGTTCAATTCCTCAGCACCACATAAGCAAAAAGAAAAAAGCCGGAAATTGCACTGTGGCTCAAGAGGTAGAGTGCTAGCCTTGAGCTGAAGAGCTGAGGGACAGCGCACAGGCCCAGAGTTCAGGCCCCACAACCAGACCCCCCCCCAAAAAAAAGACGGGGGGGGGAGAGGGAGGAAGGGAGGGAGGGAAGGAAGAAAGGAAGGAAGGAAGGAAGGAAGAAAGAAAGAAAGAAGAGAAAAAAGAAAGGAAGGAAGGAAGGAAGAAAGGAAAGAAAGAGAGGGAGAGAAGAAGGGAGGGAAGAAGGAGGAAGGGAGGGAGGAAAGGAAGGAAGGAGAGAGAAAGAGAGAAAGAGAGAGAGGGAGGGAGGGAGGGAAAGAAGGAGGGAGAGGAAGAGGAAGGGTGAATAAGCTGGTTGCTGGTGGCTCATGCTAAGATCTAAGGATCATGGCTGGAAGCCAGCCTGGACAGTAAGTCTTTGAGACTCCTATCTCCAATTAACCACCAGAAAACCTGAAGTGGCACTATGGTTCAAAGTGGTAGAACACTAGCCTTGAGCAAAAAAAGCTAAGGGACAGCACCCAGGCCTTGAGTTCAAGCCCCACCACTGACAAAAAAAAGGAAAAAAAAATGATGAATAAGGATGATTAAAATAATGGGTAGAACTCAGAAAACCAGACATGGTGCTGTGGCTCAAGAGGTAGAGTGCTTGCCTTGAGCTGCAGAGCTGAGGGACAGCGCCCAGGCCCAGAGCTCAAGCCCCACAACAGACTAAATAAATAAATAGTAGAAATATTAAAACTGCTAGCCATTCACAACAAATGTTGTACCTTACACAATCATTCAATAAGTATTAGTAAATCAAAAATGAAAACTCTTACTGCATTTCAAATAGAGAAAAACCCACTTGACAATCAACTAACTTCATATACTGCAAAGAAGTTACCTTCTATATACTTTATAAGCCTCTGAGGTGGTAATAAAGGGAACCGAATTGGGTCTAGCACTTCTACCACATGTTTTCGTCTCTTCCCCAGATCTTTCAAAATCCATTGCATTGCAGCTAAGAAGACCTGATATTCATCCTCAATGCTAAGCTCTTCACTTCGTAAAATTTTGATCAGCTGATCTTTTGTAAGTGCCAGGAACTCTTCCCCACTATGAACCTCCAAGAAATGAACATGAATATAGTTTTCTGTGAATTCCAGAAGGTCATGGCAGGCAATTTGCTCAGAAAACTGGAAAATCCCAATGCAGTTCAGTGGATCAATTTGTCCTTTTAGAAATTCACAGCAAAGATTAACAACTTCAGTCAACTGTAGCATGTCTGCTGCAACAATCAATTCTTGAACATTATTTGCAGCTATGTTCACTAGACCTAAGGAAGAAAGGAGACAAATAGCCAATAAAATAAAAACAAACTATTTTTAGTGCATGGCATTTAAATCTGAAAAATGACAAGATTGAGTTTTTTCCTGTTGTTTCATATGTTTTAGAAAACTTCACAAAACAATGATAATCTAGAAGTTATAACAATACTTATCTTTTATCTACTAAGAGCAATGTAGCTCTGCCTATTGACTTATGTACAAATTAACATTCAGGGTTGTTTTTTGTTTTTACCTCATTATTCCAAATAAATTACATGAGCTAATTAAAGTTCTTCATAATAAACAAATTAATCCAAAGACTAGTATTGAATTAAATAAAAAGCAGAAATGCACGTTTTCTTTTTTTTGTCGGTCGTGAGGCTTGAACTCTGGGCTTGGGGGCTGTCCCTGTGCTCTTCAGCTCAAGGCCAGCGCTCTACCGCTTGAGCCACAGCACCACTTCCCCATAAGTTTTCTATTCTGCCTCTGTTGTCTGACAGAAGCAATGAGATTTTAGAAAGTTCATGGTGTCATCACCAGACTGCTGGTGATTAGCACTTAGATGATAAAACTGAGAGATTACTGAGCATGTCTAGGTTAAAATAAGTCAAAATTGGCATCAGCGAGAAATAGTACTTGGCTGTTTGAAATATATATTAGCTTAAGAAGATAACGAATTTATTTGCCCACAAAAAATGAATAAACAGAAGTCATTCCAAGGCTGGTATAGTAGCTTCATAATATCATTAGTATCCCAATATTCTTCCAGCATTTTGCTCCATCAACTATATAGCTCATACTTCTAATCTCTTGCTCAATGAATTTCAGCTAGTGGAAAAAGGAAAAAAAGGCATAGAGTTTGTCTTTTTTTTTTTTTGGGGGGGGGGTCCGGTCATGGGGCCTGAACTCTGGGCCTGGGCGCTGCCCTCAGCTCTTCAGCTCAAGGCTAGGCTCTACCACTTGAGCCACAGTGCCACTTCCGGCTTTTTTTTCCCTTCTTATGTGGTGCTGAGGAATCGAACCCAGGGCCTCATGCATGCAATGCAAGGGCTCTACCACTGACCCACCTTCCTAGCCCCGTTTGTCTTTTTTTTTTAAGTTGTTCTGATTGTCTTTTCCAACAACTGCTGTCTGCATCTAATAGACCATACTCAGTTAAAAGCTCACTCCTAGCTGCAAAGTTTTGTTTAAGGATGAAATGAAAATGAATACTGAATATTTATTGGAAAGGGATCCTAAAGAAGGATCACTTGAGCCTAAGAGTGTGCCTGCGCAATATAGAAATACCTCATCTTAAAAAAAAAAAAGTATAAAGTTTCAAGGTCTCATGCTAAACTATTACCCCTGTAACTTGGATCTATTTCTGTTCCCCACCAAAAGGTTCATATAACAAACCTGTATAAATGAAATCCAGAAGTAGTTGAAAGATTCCAGCTTCAATTCCTAGAATCTGTACAACATCTTTTGAGGATTCTTTCATTCCTCCACTGAACAAAGCTGCAAAATATGGACTACTGGCAGCCAAAACCAGCCGATGGACACAAAAAGTTTCCTTCCCAACTTGCAGCTGCACATCACAGAAATGCTGTTCATTTCTCATTTTATTGATCTGGGCTAAGATGAATTGGGCATGTTTATCAGAAGAAAATGGATTTTCACCAGCCTTGAGACAGCCCTCATTAGCCATGATGATTACACATTAATTAAAAGGACTGTTGCCCATTTGCTCCTGATAAAAACACAAAGAGATAAAAAAAATTAAGTGTTTAACTAGAATGTTTTCTTTTTACATACATAGGAAATATTCTCAACTTACTGAGAGGCAAAAAGTGCAATTTATTTTTATTTATTTATTTTGCCAGTCCTGGGGCTTGGACTCAGGGCCTGGGCACTGTCCCTTAGCTTTTCTTTTCCACTCAAGGCTAGCACTCTACCACTTAAGCCACAGCACCACGTCTAACTTTTTCTGTTTATCTGGTACTGAGGAATCTAACCCAGGGCCTCATGCATGCAAGGCAAGCACTCTACCACTAAACTATACTCCCAGTCCCCAAACCACAATTTAAACAAATAAGAACCAAATTGTGCAGTACATTTTAATAACACTTTGTAAATAAAAATTTGACATACACTTTATTTTGAACAAACTTACATTAGGATTCAGTTTTTGTTTTATACATTAATAATACACACACACATATTTATTTATTTTTTTGCTGGTCCTGGGGCTTGAACTCATAGCCTGGGAATGTCCTTGAGCCTCTCTGTGCTCAAGGCTAGCATTCTACCACTTGAGTCACAGCACCACTTCTGGCTTTTTCTGTTTATGTGGTAGTGAGGAATTGAACCCAGGGCTTCATGCAGACTAGGCAAGCACTCTACCACTAAGCCACATTCCCAGTCCCATTAATAACATTTATAAAACTAAGTATTACAGAAACAAAGTGAGTTTAGAATACAATGTAATACTATTTATGCTATGATTTCAGAGAAGGGAATAAGTAATATAGGCCATATTATCTGGAGGATGCTTCAAGAAGAAATGGGACCTGAATAGGACACTAAAATATAATTTTAGAGTATAAGGAGAGGTCATAAGCCCTTTGGGCTAAAAAAAAAAAAAAAGGCATAAAGGCAGGGAACATTGTATTCAGATGAACTTATAAAAATCAGCAAATCATCTAGAATCAGTTCAAATACCTGTTTAAAATTCTTTGAGCCTGGCTTAGGTTGTTTACAACTGTGATACTAGCTACTCAGGAGGCTAAGATCTGAGGATCACCGTTCAAAGCCAGCCTGGGCAGGAAAGTCTGAGAGTCTTATCTCCAATAAATTACTTGGAAAAAGCCGGAAGTGGCTCAAGTGATAAAGAGTGCTAACCTTGAGCACAAAGAAGCTCAGGGAAAGGGCCCAGGTCCTAAGTTCAAGCCCCGTGATCATCAAAAAAAAGAAAAGAAAAGAAAAATCCTGGGCTTGGAAGGTGGCTCAGTGGTAGAGTGCTTGCCTTGCATGCATGAGACCCTGGGTTCGTTTCCTCTGCACCACATAAGCAGAAAAAGCTGGAAGTGGTGCTGTGGCTCAAGTGGTAAAGTGCTTGCCTTGAGCTGAAGAGCTGAGGGACAGTGCCCAGGCCCAGAGTTCAAGCCTCATGACTGACTAAAAAAAAAAAAAAATCCTTTAATTTGTATGCTTCCTTTTGTACAAGAAGGCCTGTGAGTCTTTGTTGCAATTCTAGACTCTGTTCAAATATAACTTTCTCAGACAACTCCTCTCTTTCTCTTTCCTTAGGGTTTGGTGGTCAAACTCAAGTCTTCTACTGCTCAATTTACACCATACCTTCTCAGCCACCCTACCATGCGAATCCCAGCACATATTCAAGAACATGCAACCATATATAAATGCACACAAAATTCTTGAAAGATAGTCATTTAATGGCAGAGATGATCATAGTTATAGCACCAATCTATTCAATAGCATCAATTCCATTTAATGAATAAATAATAGCTTAGCTGTTTTTGTAAGGTCTTTTTTGTTTTTGCCCAAGGCTAGTGCTCTATCACTTGAGCCACAACTCTACTTCCATCACTTTGGTGGTTAATTGGATATGAGTCTAATGGACTTTCCTACCCTGGTTGGCTTCAAACAATGATCCCCAGATATCAGCCTCCTGAGAAGCTAGGATTACAGGAATGAGCCACCAGCACCTGGCAGTTTTTTTGTGTGTGTGTGCTGGTATTAGGGTTTGACCTCAGTGCCTCATGTTGTCACTTGATTTTTTTTGCTCTAGGCTGGAGTTCTATCACTTGAGACACCACAGCTCCACTTCTGGCTTTTTGCTGATTAACTGGAGATGAGTCTTATGGATTTTTAAAAATAATTTTTTAATTGAGATTAAGTGATTACATAAATTTCACAGTATTGTGAGATAGTGATACTTAGTTAAAGTTGCAAACACATTTCAACCTTCACAAGGCAAATTGTCATTGTGGTCTATAATATTTGTGAATTCTATGAGCTTTGACAATACAACTATTTCTTCCACATTGGGTGATATGTACGTACATTTCTTTCCTTTTGCTTAGTGTAAGTTGTTGCCTCTTTCCTTCTCATTCCCTCCCTCCCATTGCTACCCTTGAGTTGCTTAGTTTGTTTCCATCAATGTCCAGTGCAGCTGATGGGCCCCTCTGTTCTATATTTTCCCATTTCCCTCTGATTCTGTGCCCTCCTCCTAGCTAGTCTTAAGGACTTTTCTGCCCAGACTGGCTTTGAATCTGGATCCTCAGGTCTCAACCTCCCTAGTAGCTAGAATCATAAGCATGAGCCACTAGCAGTATCCAGTCAGTTGTTTTATTTTTTTTCTTTTTCTCAAACTGTTAGCCTTTATATTTATTTTTGTCAATTGTAATTTTCACAATATTTAAAAGAAGAAAAGATAAACATATTCTAAATGATACAGAACAAAAATAAAGCTCAACTTCCCCCAAGGATATAGTGTTAGTATAATGACAAGGTTAGTGTGTGAATCCAGGTCTTTTTTTACACCAGGTTTTCTCACCATATCACATTATATAAGAATTATTAAGTCAAGTTATAGGGAAGAGGCCTTGAAACCTAAGCACAGAAATTTGGACCTAGATCTTTATGGGTTTAGCAAGAATAAACATGTCAATAGTCATTTTAGAGTTGTTTGGTTCTTCATAGGCAAAAGGAAGAGGTAATAAAGTCCTATTAAATAACAAGCACTGAGAGTCAAAGGGATTAATCCAAGTTATCTTTTGAATAACAAACATGAGATAATGCAATATGGTAGAGAGGTGCCAGTGGCTTATGCCTGTGATCCTAACTACTCAAGAAGCTGAGACTTGGGCTGGGAAGTTGGCTCAGTGGTAGAATGCTTGCCTTGCATGCATGAGGCCCTGAGTTCAATTCCTCAGCACCACATAAGCAGAAAAAAGCTGGAAGTGGCGCTGTGGCTCAAGTGGTAGAACGTTAGCCTTGAGCTGAAGAGCTGAGGGACAGTGCCCAGGCCCAGAGTTCAGGCCCGATGACAACGATGGACAAAAAAAAAAAAGCAGCAGCAGCTGAGATTTGAGGATGGAGGTTCAAAACCAGCCCAGACAGAAAAGCCCATGAGACTCTTTTTTTTTTTTTTTTTTGTCCATCGTTGTCATCGGGCCTGAACTCTGGGCCTGGGCACTGTCCCTCAGCTCTTCAGATCCAGGATAGTGCTTTACCACTTGAGCTACAGAGCCACTTCCGGCTTTTTTTTTTTCTGCTTTATGTGGTGCTGAGGAATCGAACCCAGGGCCTCATGCATGCAAGGCAAGCACTCTACCACTGAGCCACCTTCCCAGCCCTCCATGAAACTCTTATCTCCAATTAACCACAAAAAGCCAGAAGTGGAGCTGTGGCTCAAGTTGGTAGAGTGTTAGCCTTGAGCACTGGGACAGTGTCCAGGCCCAGAGTTCAAGCTCCAGGATGGGGAGGGAGTGGAGAGGGAGAGGGAGTACACAGGAGAAATCTAAGATGTTTACAGTACAGTAAGATTGACAGAAATGATCGTTCACAGCATACAATCAAACATCAAAATAACTAAACTGATAAACATGACTAGAAATTAACGTATTGAGAAATTAGGTTTTAAGGTAGCTGCTAAAACTTCATTCACCTCTGCCTCTTACATATTGTCAACATACCATAACCGGCACATAAACACAAACTGTATTTGTCTCTACATAGAAAAGCGACCTGAAGATATTATTAAACATGACGTGGCTGTCAGGCTTGGGTTTTTTGTTTGTTTTTTCTGCTTTAGTTTCTCCCTGTCAGCAGATTCTGGACTTCAGTGGTTTTGGCTTCATCTGTGTCCTACTTCAGCACAACCAACTAAAACGTTGCTTCCAACAAGCTCACCAGAAAGAGTTCGCTAAATAACCACTCTGGTAGAACTGAAGTCCTGCTACTCTGCTCCCAGGTTTCTAAGTCACTGCGGATCCTATTTCCCAGCCAGTGGAACAACTCACGCCAAAAGGCGGCACGTGGGGAGAACCCTATTTCCCAGTGGAAAGAGCCCAATCCTGAGACACTGCACGGGGCTGCTCGGGATTTGCCTCCAAAGACCCCCGCCTCACAAGGTAGATTGGTAGGAAGTGGTGGAGACAATCCGTTGGCATTAGGTCCGTTGAGGTTTTTTGGACTCACAGTGGAGAGTCATCTGAAACCTGCTTCAGTAAAGGATGTGGAGGAAAACATCCCTGCCGAGCCCTAACAAACAACCGGGGCTCTAGGGGGTTGAAATGGCTGGGGGGAGAGGAGGGTCTAGAGAGAGCATATCCCTAGTCGACTGCGACACCGGAGGCACAAAACCAATCCGGCGTTACCGGAAGGGCTGGGAAGGGCCTCAGACAACCGAGGGACACAGGAGGTGGGGAGACCCGGCTCGAGGGTCCCGGTGGGGGCGGGGAGAGCAGCGGTCCAGACCAGAGTTTGGAAGCTGCGCCGAAGGGCGAAAACACGGGGACTCCAAGACGAAGGAAAGGCGAGGAGGGGCCGGCTCCAGAGAGCCCAGCCGACCGAAGGGGAAGTCCCCGTGCCAAACCGTCACCTGCGACGCAAGCCCTCTTACCAGCCGCTTTCCTTCCCGCCGGCGCCCGCTCCGGCCCTAGCAGCAAAGTTGAGACCCGCCCCGACTCGGAGAGGGCGGGGAAACCCGGCGGAGGACTAGGACCTGGCGGCAGGGGGCGAGGCGGCAGGGGGTGGAGACTAGCGGATCTGGCCTTTCCCTGCGCCTGCGCAGATTCTCTTCTCATAAGGGTCGGAGTGTCAGGAGAGCCGAGGCGGCCGGATAGGAGGAACGGTTCTGGCCTTTACGCCTGCGCAGATTCTCCGCGAGGCGTGGTCCGGGGCGGGGTTCGGGGCGGGACGCTAGCATGGACATGAATGACTGTGCTGCTGGCTGTGATCCTCTTTCTAAGGCAATGGTCTGAATTTTGCTTTTTTATTTCATTATGAAACAATGCAAAAAAGGGCTGGAGGCTTAGCTCAGAGGTAGAGTACCTGCCTAGCATGTGCAAGGCCCTGAGTTCAAACGCTGAGATTTGGAAAAGAGCAAAAGAGATTAATGAGGCCCTTTCAGAGTAAGACTGCATTGTAACCAAATAAGAACAGGCTGAGCAGAGCGCCGGTGGCTCAAGCCTGTAATCCTAGCTACTCAGGAGGCTGACAGCTGAGAACCGCGGTTCAAAACCAGCCAGGGCAGGAAAGTCTGTGAGACTCTGATCTCCAATAAACCACTCCGAAGAGCTCCAGGACAGAGCCCAAACCCGGAGTTCAAGCCTCAGGACCCACGAAAAAATAAATAAAAATAAAAGACTGTATTGTCTAGCAAAATATTGGGAGGATTTAAATCTATAGGTACCTCTGACTTTTTTTTTTTCTTTTTTGACAGTCCTGGGCTTGAACTCAGGGTCCAGGCACTGAGCTTCCTTTCCCAAGGCTAGTACTCTGCCACTTGAGCCACAGTGTTGTTTCTGTTTTTTCCTGTTTATGTGGTGCTGAGGAATCCAGCCCAGGGCTTCAAGCATGCTAGGCAAGCACTCTACCCACTAAGCCACATTCCTAGCCTCCTCTGACTTTATACTAAGCTGTTTTACAAGAAACTTATACTAAAATAATGTTACTCTTATCATGCAGAAAAAGATACCAGAATTTTTTTTGGGGGGGAGGGAGTCTGTCATGGGTCTGGGCCTGGATGCTATCCCAGAGCTCTTCAGCTCAAGGCAAATGCTCTACCACTTCAGCCACAGTGCCACTTCCAATTTTCTGGTGGTTTTTTGGAGATAAGAGTCTCATGTAACCTGTAAAATAATTTTTTGAAAAATAAAATCAGGGACTGGGAATGTGGCTTAGTGGTAGAGTGCTTGCCTTGCATTCATGAGGCCCTGGGTTCGATTCCTCAGTATCACACAAACAGAAAAAGCCAGAGGTGGCACTGTAACAAGTGGTAGAGTGATAGCCTTGAGCAAAAGAAACTCAGGGACAGTGCCCAGACCCTGAGTTTAAGCTACAGGACTTGCAAAAATAAATAAATAAATACAACTTACTATTGGACTAGACCCAGCAATTTGAAAAACTCTGCTTTAAAACAGGCACAGAGGGCTGGGTATGTGTCTTAGTGGTAGAGTCTTTGCCTTGCATGCATGAAGCACTGGATTCAATTCCTAAGAACCTCATACACAGAAAAAAAGAAAGAAAGAAAGAAAGAAAAAAGTGGTGCTGTGGCTTAAGTGGTAGAGTGCTAGCCTTGAGCAAAAGAAGCTTAGGGACAGTGCCCAGACTGGCAAAAAAAAAAAAAGCACAGAATTACTGGAACATGAGACTAGGTGCTACACACACACACACACACACACACACACACACACACACACACACACACACACACACACACACACACACACACACACACACACACACACACACACACACACACAGACACGTCCTGGGGATTAAACCCAGGGCTTCTGGCATGTTAGGTTAATGCTGTAATGCTCAGCTACATCTCCATAAGCACACAGGTCATTTGAGTACCTGGGTGACTGGCAGCTGCCTACACACCAAGGGAAGATGTCTTTTCTTTTCTTTTTTTTGGTGGGGGGGAAGATGTCTTAGAGTAAAACCTACCTTGCAGCCATTTGATCTTTGATTTCCCAACTCCAGAACTGTGAGATATAAATTTCTGTTGCTTAAGCCAAACAGTCTATGGCATTTGGTATGCCAGCCTGAACAAAATAATGTATAGGACAATTATTTGTTCTATAAAATGAGATTTATGTCTTTTTTTTTTTGTTTACTTTTTTTCTTTTGGTAGTACTAGAGTTTTAATTCATTTTCTCAAACTTGTTAATCAGGCTCTTGATCACTATGTGATGCCTTTTTTCTATTTTATTGCTTTGTAAGAGGATTTTTAAAATTATATACTTTCTTCTAAACTGGCTGCATTTTTTTATTCTTTATGTCTTTTGATAAAAGCTCACAATTTTAGCAATTATGGTTTACCATTTTGATGTTGATACTTTCCCAGTATCATAAAGCTGTTATCTTCTATTTCCCTAAAAGTGAAAGTGTTTTAAAAAAAAAAAACTTTTTTTTTTTGTTTTAGTGGGGTTTTTTTTCCTGCTGTTATTTATTTATTTTGGTGCTAGTAGAAGGGCTTTGACTGAACTCAGGGCCTGAGTACTGCCTTGAGCATTTTTTGATCAAGACTAAGCCACAGCTCTACTTTTGACTTTTTGATGGTTGATTGGAGATAAGAGACTCATAAGCTTTCCTGCTCCAGCTGGTTTAAAACCATGATTCTTAGTAGATAGGATTATAGGCATGAGCTGTTAGTGCCCGGCTTACAGAGTTAAAGCTTCTTTTCCAGTTTAATTCTGCAAGTCACAGGAATTAGTTTTGTGTACAGATTGGGACAGGTGTTGCTGGAAATTTAGGGCATCTAATCAACCTCAGTCCTTGCATTACAATATGAGGAGAGGGCTGGGAAGATGGCTCAGTGGTAGAGTGCTTGCCTTGCATGCCTGAGGCCCTGGGTTCGATTCCTCAGCACCACATAAGCAAAATGAAAAAAAAAAGCCAGAAGTGGCGCTGTGGCTCAAGTGGTAGAGCGCTAGCCTTGAGCTGAAGAGCTGAGGGACAGCGCCCAGGCCCAGAGTTCAGGCCCACGACTGGACCCAAAAAACAAAATAAATTAAAAAAAAATAAAAAAACAATATGAGGAGAATTCAGGTAAGACTCAAGTGTAGTAAAAGTGACAGAAAAGCTTATTTTAAAAAAATATATGGATCTGTAGCCTGTGGCCCTGCTTGTAATCTTAACTACTCAGGAGGAAGAGATCTGAGAATTATGATTTGAAGCCAGACTGGACAGAAAAATCTGTGAGAAGGGCTGAGAAGGTGGCTCAGTGGTAGAGTGCTTGCCTTGCATACATGAGGCCCTGGGTTCGATTCCTCAGCACCACATAAGCAAAAAGAAAAAAAAAGCCGGAAGTGGCGCTGTGGCTCAAGTGGTAGAGCGCTAGCCTTGATCTGAAGAGCTGAGGGACAGCGCCCAGGCCCAGAGTTCAAGCCCCATGACCGGACCCAAAAAAAAAAAAAAGAGGGCTGGGAAGGTAGCTCAGTGGTAGAGTGCATGCCTTGCAAGCATGAGGCCCTGGGTTTGATTCCTCAGCACCACATAAACAGAAAAAGCCGGAAGTGGCGCTGTGGCTCCAGTGGTAGAGCGCTAGCCTTGAGCTGAAGAGCTGAGGGACAGCGCCCAGACCCAGAGTTCAGGCCCCATGACTGGCAAAAAAAAAAAAAAAAAAGAAAAGAAAGAAAAGAAAAATCTGTGAGACTCTTATCTCTAACCCAAAGAGTTGGAAATGGAAGTGTGGCCCAACGGGAAAAGTGTCACCCTTGAGCTGTAAAAGCTAAAGAATAAACCAGGCACCAATGACTGACACCTGTAATCCCAGCTACTCTGGAGATTGAGATCTGAGGATCTCCTTCAAAGACAGCCTGGGCAGGAAAGTCCCTGAGACTCTTATCTTCAATAAACCACTGGAAAGCCAGCCTAGGCAGAGTCTTGTGAGACTCCTATTAACTAACCACCAGGAAACTGGAAGTGGCAATGTGGCTCAAAGTGGTAGAGCACTAGCCTTGAGCAAAAAGAGCTCAGGGATGGCACCCAGGTCCTGAGTCTAAGCCCTACAACTGAAGGGGAATAAAC